TCCGCGCAGGCCTGTAACATTTTTTTTACATGGGTTAATGTACTATCAGCATAGGCAGAGCCTGTATATGTCTAGTAGCTACATGGTTTGACCTAATGATGTAATTACATTATTATAAAACTATTTATACTTTAGAGTTACATATTTAATGCAATTTTCCATTCTAAGAGATAAATTTACACTTTCAAAATTAGTACGAAAAATGTTTAAATACATACTGAATGTGGAATTTTGCGCAACATGTAATTTTGCACCCTTTTGTCTGGCATACAGATGGCCAATGATCTAGTGTTAGCACAAGTCCGAAAAAAAAACTTAAGTAGATGATACGTTTTACAAAACTTCTGGATTCCTCCCGCGTCGATTTTTGCTGAGACAAAATTTCTGACGTTTCGCCAATCATCATGTTGGCTTCTTCAGTGCTTGACTTAAACTGGCAGTATTACGGAAGTTTCTTTGAAAAATTAAGTAGATAATCTAGGAGTCGACATTCTTTGCTAAAGATGCAACTGGATTTTGAAAACAGTTTCATTTCTGTAGGTCGTGTCTATGTTAAAAACTCGAAACGTTTTACTGCAAAACATTTCTGGCTTGCACCCCAATCCGCCATGTTTTGACTAGCGCGGTCCTATACGTATATCGTTTTATAATCGGGGGCCTAGTCGACTAATTAAAACCACTCAAACACTTTAAATTTATCAGACTATATTGGGGGCAGATAGGAAACATTTTAATGGATCTTAAAAAAAGAAGGTGAATAATTAGTAGCTGTAAAAGACACTAAATTTAGGACGCTTGTTTCGCTCTTAATTCGATGCGTTTTATGTTACTTACGAGCGCCATAAAAATGTTGTCATATGCATACCGAAAAAAAAACAACAGCTTCCTTAATCCTCTAATGGTGTGACAAGATGGCGTGGAAGAAGAGCCGAACTCCGAGTAACATTTCTGTTTTGTTACAATTAAACAGTTAAAGTGACGATTAGTTTTTCTTTTGAACGGGCATACATTTTTAAAGTGAAGCAAATATATCGATAGCGTCTTCTTATAACTGGTGATGTGGTGTGATTCGTTGGTTACACAAGGTTTCCAAAAAGGTTATAGGTTATATGACTTCTATGAAATGTAGTGAACACAATATTGTCTAAATGTTGTGCGTTGCGTTGCCCAATGGGCTGGATGGTAGAAATGGGTTAATATTTTCTTTAGAATAAAACTTATTAGTATTTAAAAGGTTTGTTTTGCTTCTTTGTTAATAACTAAATATTTTAAATAATTAAATATGTTTAACTTCTACTCGACAGAAACGGCAATTAATGTACAGGGTGTTATTCCATATTAGTACACACATAATATTATGTTCCTAAACAAAAAATAAAATGTTGGGGTGATTTAAACGATTTTTATTGATATCTTATTTTTAAGTAACTTAACATATACAGGATGTAACTAAAAGAGAATAAAATTAGATATAAAATTTAATGCAAACTTAATTTGAAAGATGAACTTTACTAAAAATGTAACTAAAAGAACAATATTCAATATTAATTGATAATAAATTAAACAAAACATTTTCAAACAATGGATTTTAATAACTTTCGCTCAATTAACTGGTAGTTGGGGCTATAGCTCAGGACGGGATTTTGATGGACCACATTAATTTCAAAACATCAGGAGAAAATGATTCTTAATATTTTGGAATACCTTGTCTATCTCTTAACTAGGGAGCAGCAATATTCTCATTAGATCTTTATTAGAGGCAGTACGAGAAATTTTCTGAGTGTTCAGTCTTCTGCCATTTTTATTACGAACTTTTTTGTCTTCCTCCGATAACCGTGAGGAAGTGAGGCCGATTTAAAAATAAATTTTGGCAAAACCGATTATCTGTCAGTGGAGCATCCCCAGTATAATTCTTTGTTGATGGCAAGTTGTCGAAGCCTGTAAGAATTATACCTATTTAGGTGTGAAACTATCTAAGCAAAGCTCGAAGAAAAGATAAATAACCTACAGCACTAATCAAGCAAAACACGCTACCAGTAAATTAAACTCCTTATTGTGGTTAAAAAATGTACATAAACAGACAAGGCTAAGGTATAAATAAAGGTATTGTGCAAAGGATATTATTGTGTGAACTAACAAAACGTTACAAAGACTGGATGCGACACGGATGTATTTTCTTAGAAGTTGTGGAGTATCACGACTGCGCAGAACATCAAATTACATAAGAAGGAATGAAGACGCATGCTTACGTGGTACAGACATATAAAACGAATGGAGCATAACCGTTGGCCAGAAAACATTTTAAATTGGTAACCACCATATAAGAGAAAAAGGAGAGAAATGGATGAAACAAGTTCGGGAGGATATAGAGAGAAGATTGGATGGATAGGGAGGCATTGAAAAGAAGATGCGAGAGACGACCCACAGAGCTGCAATAAACTGGCTTATACCTATATAATTTCAACTGACGTTTCAAATAAGGCGAAATATTATTTTCGGTGTTAAAATTTAAAACGCCGCGATAATCTTGGCAGGTCCAAACAATCCGACCCCTCGCACTAACACTTCGTTAATAATTAATCGGGGGGTGGTGGCGAGATTTAAGCAAGTTTATATTTTTTATCGTCAATTAGACACCCCCGCGGATGAAAAATTGTTTATTTTCGGTGGGCACTTTCTATTATCCTGGCCGGATTTGCACTTTTATTGGGGCGAATTCCCCCGCGTGCCATCACGGTCCTTATTCCATCCCCGGCGCATGGAGTGAGAAATAATAAGGGTCGGATTTTATTAGTGTGGATGTATAAATGTATATAGGCGCGTGGGTATGTATATTTTCCGGCTTTATTTAATCCGAATTGCGAAATTTTAATGGAATTTGGTACCGGGGACAGCGCGAATCACGAATCTGAGAAATGTTGTCTCAAGGAACTCAAACATCCAGTTTGACTTAAGATCAGACCACAACTTTCCATTGCTGCAAATCGTCCTTTTGTTTTGGGTGTGTATCCAATTGAATTCTGACCTATTTGTTTGTTAATTACTTCTAATGGCCACGACTACATAGGTCATTCGGTCAGTGGTTTATCGCTGTCCTTATTTCATCCCGTCCATGTGGTTTTTTAATTTGTAAGAAAATATTCAACACTGATATGTCAAGATTTATCGGAAAAAGCTATACGCATATTTATATATTATGTCAGTTCAATGTAAAAGTTTAGTTTATCTTTTAGATGAAAGAATGTGGAGAGTTAATTTGATTCAGTATAGAAACCGCACACAACGAGCTCTACTGGCTTCATGGACGAGGTAAAGGTACAAAAAGAATAAATATGTCTCCAATTGTTGCAACAGATAGTAGGTACTTATACAGTTATAAAAAAATGGAATAATATATAGGGTGTTCAATTTAAAAGAAGAAAGTTGACACGCACTTCTGATCAACATTAGTTTAATTCCAAATTTTTGCTACTTATTTTTTCACAAAATAGATTGACGAAGTTCCCAGTGGGACACGCTGTATAAACTGTTGTCCTGGTTCGGGTCTAAAGGCCGTCGTCAATTGCAATTACTTATTAACGTTTCCCTAGCACGAGTGGCAAGCTTCTTCAGAGGTCGTTTCGTATTCTACGTGATAGTGGTCTCGGTAGTAATCTAGTAGTAATAGTAGTAGTAGTGGTAACATTGGAGATGGAAGGCCTCTGAAGAAGCCTTGCCACTCGTGAATCAAAACAAAAGTTCATAAACTGTCCCGCGAAAGCCTTAACCAATAAGTAAACACTTTATTTTGTATTAACCTGAAGACAATTGAAGATACTTGTGGAGTTGTGAAAGATAATGGAAGTCCAACATTTATCATTGTCTATGATATTTTCAAAGATGACTATGTATTTTCACATGTAACAATCTAAAAAGTTCGTAAAATAATGATTTCATCTTGTTAGAATCATTTATAAAAAATGTTATTTATGAATAAAAAATATGTTGAGTCGTCTCCTACTTCAGCCTCTTGCGCCACCTCTGGGACATTAAAAAAACAATCTACAATGGGGAATTGTGGACTGCTGCTTATAATTAATGATGGCCGTTAAGCGATTCTGTCTCCGTTTAACAGATGGCAACACAGTCTAGCGGTTATGATCTGCGGCGAGTATTATTCGCTGCTTTTTAAAACTAACCTTAATATTCTGGACTGATTTTAATCACAGCAAACGGTGTGCTTATCGAAAAAGTTCTTTCCAACTAGGAATCTTATTAATTAGCTGCATATTTACACATTTTTAATATTTTTACAAGAGGTTATTTCAAAAAAAATTAAATACACAAACTTTGATATTTTTATTTTTGGATTTCTAAGAAAATGTGATGATACCCGCAGGTTTTCCAGTACTTAATTCCACTGCATCTTTTAATCATTTTTGACTGGTGGTAAACGTATGTTCGCTAAACTGATTCCAAGTTAATCTTGAGAATTGATTTATCGCTTATAGGGTATCCAAAATTTGCCAATCTATCAAAATCTGCACTTCGATGATCTGCTGCAAAATTTTAACCTAACCTTATTTAAAATGTCAAAAAAATGTGGGAGGGAGACCTAAGAGATACCATGGATACTTGTAACTATTGTCATTGCATGAACCATTTCTATATGAATTGTTCAATAAAACAAAGTCTTATGGAGATATAAAAGAATCCCGCAATAGTAAGTCACCTTGTATGCGCTTTTATAAACATTTCTATAAAAACGGCATAAGTTATATTCGAAACGATGAGAATTATATCTAACTTGATGCCTATACACTAAGGTGCATAAATAAAAATGGCTCACCAAATTGGCTGAAGAAAATTTAAGTTGGTTAATTAAACATAGATTTGCCATTGGAAAAAGTACTCTGAAAGTAAGGATTGATATTTCCCAACTCCGAGTTTTTTTTGAGCGACACATTATTAGAGTGACCAAAATAAAAATTCACTGGAAACGCAATATATTTAGTAAATATATTCTTCAAAAACTTTAAAAATAAACGCATTATGATTTCTTAAAAACTAAGCAATAAACTATCCCGAGATAAGGAAGCGAAATTTATTATTCACAATGTAAATAACATGGGTAAAAAATCCATCAAATATTTTTATCATCTACAGCGAGAGATTAAACCGAGAATTGACATTTCTCTTTCAACTACGAAAGGCTAAAAAACGGAATACTACTCCCTACACTAAAATGACCAATTATGCAACGCTTTCCTACTTGAAAATACTGGGTCTTCACCTGCCAGTTTCTTGGTTTATTTATCGCTGATTGCAGTTGTCAGGTGTGAATGACTAATGAAACTTATAACACTTAATAAATCGAATGGCGCTCCGCCTACATCAAAAACTTGAAGTAGAAGAGGTATATAAAGCAATATTCTACTTTTTAGCCCTCCTTACTTACAGTACCGAACATAAACAAGGCAGAAAGGGTCACTCTCTTCGGCGTTCGGCACTTTGGGAGTGTCACGAAGTGCTAAGGAAAATTCAAAGGAAAGTTGATACCTGCGTACACAGCGACCCTTCTTAAATGTGTTCTTTATGTTCAGTGGTAATAACTTAATATAAAGGTCGCGTTATGTTATTTGTTATATTAATTACACAAGGTAATGTCATTGTTGCTTTATTACTTCATTTCTTCATGTCTTCATTGATCAGATTATAATTTTAAATTTTAAACAATCTCGATTATTCACTATAATTATTAATTATTCTTTGTTCGCTGATTAATTAATTAATTAATTCATTGATTAATAAAAGACGAAAAAATAACACTACATTTTTTAAAACCAAAGCAACATTTGCAACAGCGTTTTATTATAAAACAAAATATTATTTATAAAAATGACACTCTTTCCCATCGATAGTAAGTAAATAGCTTTCATAAAACAGGTTTATCCCCTAATTTTCATGGCCTACATTATAACCTATCAGCTGTTGCTTACTATTGGAGTCCGATTTTAAATACATAAAAGTAAAAACAAAAATACCTGTTACTGTACTGTACTGTTCAGTACCCCATTAACCACCAATATTCATCTTATGAAAAAAAAATGGAATCGGTAAACCCTCGTCGTCATTAAAAATTGACATTTCTATTATTGGCAAAATGCACAATTTTCTTAATATAATTGTGTATAATAGTTAGATAAATTAAATATCGACGATATTAATAACCAAAGATCTGAAATTAACCGGGATGAAAACCTTAGCTTTTAAACCAGTTTTCATAGTTTTATAAGAAAGATAAGTTTTGTAATACTAAAACAATTTAAGGATACTTCAATACTGCTATTCTTTCAAGAACAAATAAACAACTGATTTTAGGATTGCATAATAGCTTTCAATTCATTTTACACCTGTTAGGTAACTTATAAAACAACAAATATAATATTAGCTTAGGTTTTATTGCAAGAGATATGCTATAAGACACCTAGATAAGGTTTATAACAATTAAAACTATATGTTTAAAAAACAACATAAACACGTGCATAAAAAGAAAGACTTTTGTTATATACCTTTTTATATAAATCAGTTGATGTTGATACTAATAGATACATGCTTAACAAGGGTTTCTTTTTTTGTTTTCTTTTTCTTTTTTGTATTGCTTTGAATTTTAGTTTGTGTATTGTACGGGCTTAACTGTTAACTGCATACTGAGTAATCTCCTCCTATCATATCAATAATTCATATACTGCAATTGAAGATTAAGTGAGGAAGTATAACTTCAACGCCCTTTGTGATATGTTCTTGCAATGTATTTACATTTGCATTTTATATTGCGAAAAAAAAAATTCATCACATTCATTTTCAATTTTTACCAAAATTAGGTTTTAAAGGGCTTAAAACAAGTGTGCTTCAGTTTTAGCAGGGGTAAAATATAAAATTATTGGATCAAGTTTTTATGCCAAATCAAACTAAGTTGTTGTAGGAAAGTTTTTAAGTTGGGTAATATTCATTTTATTAAGATATTATCGTCAAAGTAAAAAATTTCAGAGTGAAAGCAAAATACACAATACACAATAAAATATATTGAAAACAAAGATATAGAAAAATGTCAAGCGAAAAAGAGACGTTTTTTATTTGATGTTGCTAAACACTGTAGGTCGGTTCTATAGCCGTTATAAAACTTATTTATGGTTTATAAATGTAGGGGATTTATAAAAGTAACGTAAAAGTTTAGCGATTAATTGTTAGATTCTCAAGTTTTATACAATAGGCAATCTACGCGCAAACGTTATCATTATAAAACAAAAAAAAGTATGGTTGAGTTAAGTGGTGGACGATCGATGGTTTACAATAGCACTTTACTATTGTCCTGGATCTTTAAAGATAACAAAGCGGCGCAAAAAGCTACCGCCATTGTGACTACCGCCGCAAACAAGAGCGTCGTGTGGGCGAGAGTCCCGAATATCGGTACTGCGCAGAGCGACGCCAGATGAAATGCGCTGCGCATAAATCCATGCGCGGTGCACCTGAAACATATGCGCTCATGGTAATACATCTTATCCACAAAGTATGGGACAGGCTTAGATTTACGCGTGGAACATTAATTGTTTAATTAATTAGTGCGCAACGATAGAGCCGAACAACAAATACAAGGATGGAAAAAATTTGCTAAATTATTCTATAGGGTCATTTACAATAAAGCAGTTTGTCGCTGACCCTCGTATAATTAACCTTATAGCTTTTGACCAAACGATGCAAGTTCATTATGTAAGACAATGCAAAAATAATTTACAGCTTGAATCACCCTATCGTGTATACAGGGTGTTGCTGAAATGACAAAAGATAATCCAATGAGTGAATCTCAGAGTAGAGGACAAATGCGGAGAATACTCGATGTAGCTGTTGCAGCCATAGAATTCAATAAAGATTATGCTTGTCGTGCCATACGATCTTTCATAGTTCCAAATTTTGCACATTTGGCCTTATTAGTTCAAATATGAAAAAAAAGAATGGCACCTAATTGCCGACAGCTTTAAGTAATTATTTAAAAAAAAATAAAAAGACACTTTTCAGATGTTTAGTCATCGTAACGTGAGAATGATCAGAAATATCTTTGCTTTTTTGTCAATTTCTTACTTACGCTATTTTTTTTTTCTAATTTAACTGATACAGTAAGCGCGTAACGTAACGAACTATTCATAGTTACCTGCGGGATGGAATCTGAAGTCTTAATGTGACCAAAAAAAAAAACTCACACCATTATAACTAGAGATAAAAACATTTGAAATAAATAGGTCATAAGCCTTTTTTCAAAGACTCTTCCATAGGCTACTGTTATACTTCTTATAAAACGTCTGGATTCCTCCTGAGTCGGTTTTTGTTGAGGCGAACTAGCTAACGTTTTGCCAATCATCCTGTTGACTTCTTCAGAGCTTGACTGAAACTGGCTCGTATTTTACTCTGTACCTGCTTTTATATTATTTGACAGGGGCGGAGCTAAATGAGGAGCATAAACGCCGTCTCGGATGACTACCATATTGGTGAGACCTGAGTCGCGGTTAAGATTGTTAGGTTGCTTATATTTCTAAAGACTCTCAGATTTTTCGTTAGTCGAAGAATTGATTACATGAAAGAATTTTTTTTATGACCAGTTTCGTGATTGTATTCGGCAACTGCTGATGACTTTATTTATATTAATCTTAAGGCTCTTTCATGTTCTTTGATATTTTTCGTCCGGTCCGCATATGCATGGAATGATGTAAACCTCTGGCAGCTCAGATCTAATTTTGTCTTTGTGGTCAGTCGGATTTTTAGTGAGTAAAAGAATTGCTTACATGCAATAATTTTAGGTTTATTGAATACAATTTTGTGTCCGGTTTCATAATTGTGTTCGGCAACTGCTGATGAGTTTATTTGTCTTAGCCTAGTTGATATTTTCGTCCGGTCTCTCCAATGTATTCTTTGCCGCATTTGCATGGAATGCTGTAAACTCTTGTCGTAGCAAATGGAATTTTGTTTTTGATCGAAGATGTTGAGAGATTTGTAGACAAGTGGTAAATCTAGTTTTGACGCTATATTTATTTAGGACTTTTATTATGTGGTCAGTGATGTTTTGAATATAAAGAACGACAACAGTGGCAAGTGTGGGATTGCTATTGGAAGGTTATGGTGAAGTGTATTTTGTGATGGAACGCTTAATATCTTAGACATTTAAAGTCTATACACCCTAACATACGTTTTACCATTGAAATAGAAACTAATAACATCCCCCCATTCTTAGATATTGTTATCAATAGAAAATCAGACCTAACAATGGGTCATTGTGTTTACAGAAAACCTACACACACAGACCTTAATGCATTGTCACATCAGCATCCGGCCCAAAAATCATCGGTTATCAACTCTTTTGTTTATAGAGCCGCAAAACTATCTCAGCACGAGTCATTGAACCCAGAATCAAAACACCTTACCTCTGCTCTTCTCTCTAATAATTTACATATTTAATATATTAAGCGTTCCATAACAATATACACTTCATCATAACCTTTCAAAGACAACGAGTTCGAAAGCGACCCTACACTCGCCACTGTTGTCCTTCCTAACATTCAAAAGTTCTTAAGGAATATAACGTCAAAACCGTCAACATCTTCGATCTGTCAAAGACCAAATTCCATCTGAGCTGCAAGTAGTTTACATCATGCCATGCATATGCGGAGAGACCGGACGAAAAATATGAACTAGCTTCAAGGAACATGAAAGAGCATTAAGATTAGGATAAATGATAAATAAACTCATCAGCAGTTACCGAACACAATCACAAAACCGGCCATAATTTTTTTTTTTTTGGATAGAAATAAAATTCTTGCATGTAATTAATTCTTCTACCAACGAAAAATGCGAAAGTGTATAGAAATCTATAAGCAACTCAACATTCTTAACCGCGATTCAGGTCTCTACCTGTCAGCAATATGGGAAATAGTCATTCGAAATGGTATTTATGCCCCTCATTTAGCTCCGCCCCCTCAACCAATATAAAAGCAGGTACAGAGTAAAATGCTGGCCAGTTTCAGCCAAGCTACGAAGAAGCCAACAGGATGATTGGCGAAACGTTAGCTAGTTCTACTCAACAAAAACCGGCGCAAGAGGAATTCAGAAGTTTTATAAAAAGTAGGTCATAGGCCTTTCAATAATTATCTTTCCATTATTAAACAGTTCGGATACACTGTTTACAGGGTATCCCATAACTTATCAATAAACATGTTAAACGTGTCAAATGTTAGTCAGGAGATTAATCACTAAAAATGTACAGAGGGTCGAAAATAAAAACTAATTTTCCAACAATTGCAATAATTACAACAAAAAATATCCGATTGAAAATTAGTGTACTATTTAAATTTAATTCCTAGAGGGCGCTCTGATACATACTTATCTTATATTTTTTGTCTTCTAATGACAACGGATTCGTTTCGACTACCGATTTTTACCTTTTTAAGCTAAAACACTTTATATCGTAATTTTGGTAAAAACCTGAAAGTTCTATTTCGAATATTTTTGAAGAAATTCATGTTTTAGGAATATTGCGTTTTATGACACAAACGATTTTCTTAAAAAACTATAAAAACTGTTATAAGAGCTAAGGTTTCTTATAAATATTTTTTGCTTTATAATAAAACCTTAAACTGTGAAAAATCTTAGTTTTAGTTAGCTTTGGTTAGTTAGTTAGGTAATGTTTTATATCCGTTTTTGGAGATTACGTTTTATTATTATACGAAAACGATCTGTGCCATATCAACGATTTTAATATGTTTACCCGTTTTAATTTTTGTTTTTCAAAATTTAGTTTCACTTTTGCCACCCTATATTTTTTTAACCACTAACATTATTATTTTATTTTGGCTTCTGCATCTTGCTCTATGGCAGATGAGTTATGGGACATTCCATGATACAAATTTTCAAAATTAGCACTCTATAAATCTACTGGTCAATACTTTACACTTTTCCACTTACCTCAGGTCGCAAGGGTATGCCTCCACGACAACTAAAGTCAGCGCATTAAGACTGCATACAAGCAGTACTTTCAAAACGACCTCTACCGCTACAAAGACCATAGTGCTGTAGCCGAATAAGTGGAAAAACAGTATTCCACCCCCGGCTTGGCTGGCCAACGCTAACGTAATCACTACCGCCCTCGTTCTAGATACGGTTTCCATTGCGAAACCGTAGGAAAATAGAGTTGGAACCATAAAACTGGACCTGAATAAAATATCACCTTTCAGTTGTCTATCCTGAGCTGCCGATTAAGTGCAGACTTATATCTTTCTTGTTATTAGGGATACGAAGTCGATTAACTTAACAAAGGAGTATTCTGCATGAGGATTGCAATTCCAATTGCAATTCCAAATAAATCAAATCTTGCATCTTTTTCGTGGAACATAAAAATTTCTTCATGATATTATAATATAACATAATAATCGAATTTTTAGCACATTTATGTATTTGATTAATGGGCAATGTACATACATCCAAAATGAAAATCACAGTTTTGCTGTCAATAAACAAGCAATTTCAATTTATTATTACAACTATATATGTTATTTATAGAGGGGGTTTCAAAACACATAAATGAACGCTCAGGTGGAGATTCCTCATTCGAAAAAGGCAATAAAATGCATATAAACGTAGATCTAAAAATTCTTAGTCTCCAAGAAACGTATGAAAACTCTTCGTAGGCTACATGCTATAGTGATCATTTTTATCATTTCTTTTAGTGTTAATTTTTTAGAAGCAAGTTAGTATCAAAGGGTACAAAAAAAAGTTCATAAAAACACGTTTTGTCAATTTTCATGATTTTTATATTTTCGCAAGAAAAACAAGGCAAGAGTCAAGTAAATAATCAAAAATGCAAATTTGGCAAAAAACAGGGGGTGTTGAAAATCAAGCATTGCTGGACCTACGTTTACATGAACTTCTTTCTTTTTTAATGACGCATCTTCAGTTGGGCGTTGGCGCATGTTTCTTGAAATACCAGGTGTTTTCATTGAAAAAGTCCCAACAAACTATTAAACAAAACGCATTTGAACTTTTAGTTTAGTTTATGTTTTAAGACGGAATTTATTTTTAAGTTTAAAACAATTATACAGGAAATTTTATGATCTATGGAAAATTTGCAAACATTAAAGTTAATAGCATGAAAAATACTGCTACCTAATTTCGACATCGTCTAATGTAATGTATCGTGATTTTTTTCTTATAAAAACAGTCAAGTTTATTTTAATGAAATACACATCATAAATCTATAAACTAACTAAAACTAAAATAAATATTAAATGTAATATACAAATAACACTTTTAACATGGAACTACAGATAGTGTTGTAGCCTTAATGTCTTTTTCAAGATATTCGGTAGACTACTGAAATTGCCATATTTGATGATTTTCATTAATTCCCGATTTTTCATTTTAATGCATTACAGCTGATCGCTAGACCTAAGTCGCTAGAACAACTGTAAATGTTTGTATTTGCATAGCTCGCCATCTGTGTAAAAATCTAGAATAAAGCTGGAATAAACCTTTGGGATGCAATTTAAGCAAATTAAACGTGAATGTACAAAAGGTAAGCCCATATTTTAAACGCTAAAATGATCCGGATCGTTGAAACGCAGTTTTATGCAAAATTCAGCTACCTGGTATCTATTACACCAGAATCGAACTTGAAACATCTGGTATAAAACTCTTAGTAGTCTTCTTACAACATAATGTTAATTATAAGTCACTAAATAAACCTATATACAGAAGAACTTAGAGAAAATCTGCTGTTAATTTTTGGTATAATGTTTTAGAGTTCTAGGAACAGTCTTTTAAAATTAACGTAAGAACACTAGAACAAGAGAATTGCACTAATGAATAGCTAAAACCCTCAATGGTAATTCCTATTGTGTAAATTAACATCCGCGGTACAGATATAGGTCTAGTAGAGCGACAGATGTATCGAATTTCCCATGTTGAACAGCCCGGGTCGAGGGTAAGGCATATTTAATAAATGAATGGGTATACTATACTTGTGTTTTTAAATTTTTATTTTCACAAGAAAAGTAGAAAATTTAAAATATGGCAAGCATGTTGAATGTGAAGTATATGTGGGATGGTTAAATATTAAGTATAAAGGCTGGAACAAAACTTGATTTGCTTACCAAGCAAGGGTTTCGTCGTACAAATCTTCCAAGTAAATATTGTAATCGAAATCTACCACGCACTCGGATATCAATGATATAAAGGTGTTGTTCACCAGAACACACCCCACGAAGTTGTAGTCTCTCAGATCGGTATCGATAAACCTGCAAACAACCCCTTTCCATATTATTTTACGAAGCCTTGGCTTTTATAACAGTTTTTATAGTTTTCTTTTTTTAAACCTTTTTTATTTTTGGTTACTTCAGTTTTTTTTTGAAAAGGCTTTATAGTATCCTTAAAAAGGTTACTCTTACTTACTCTTGGGGTTTTCTAGTTTACTACGTAAACTCGTTATAAATCTTAAATCACCTAATAAATTCGACTGTAACAATTACAGAATAATAAATTTTCCATGTACATGAAAATATAAGTCCTAGAGAGAAAGATAAGACCGGTGATAGAAAATACACTACAAAAATCTCGTGGATGCAGAAAAGCTAAAGTATACAGGATCACTTATTTACACCCAAACAAATAGCTACAAAAGCAATAAATTAAGTTTGCGCACTGTAGAATAGTGGTAAGGAAATTTAATGTGGGCTATCCATACCTGACAAATGTTAAAGGAAGGAGGAAGAAGTGTTTGTCCACCATGTAGTTGTAATCTCAGGAAAAAAGAAAGATTTACAAAATAACATTTATTATCGAGCAGGTAGAGTAGAAACAGAAAAGATCGGAAAGCAGGAAAAGAAATAAATAACACAATATAAAAAACATTAAAACTATACGATGAATAAATACGTAATAAACAAAAGATTTGACGGCAGTTTTGCACACTTAATGTTAAATAAACAATTGATTGCATAATTGACATTTGAGATTTGGGCACTAACAGTTTTCAAATGGTTTTCCAGTTACTTTTAGACTTACAATGGTTATGAAAGTTTTTATAAATACCTGTTTGTATTCCTATAAGTATTCCAAAATCACGTTAGGTTTTATTGCAAGAGCAATATTGCTCTAAGACACAAAGGTTAGTTTTTTAAAAATGTACTTGGTGAACATTTAGATGTGGACATAAAAATATCTGCAAGTTAATTGCGAAACAAATGTTCATGAGATATAATTTTAATTTTCTGGTTTTTACCAAAATTGCATTTTAATTGTGATCTTTAGGAAGCGTAATAGTATATTATGCAAGTGCGGTAAACGGCATTTGACTCGCGAGTTTAGTTGACACCAGCGGAGCGAGTGTTTAATAAACGAGTGACTTAAAAGTTTACCGAACGTGTTGCATACTATACTTTTTCTACGACCGTTAGTTTTTGGTTACATTTTCGCAAAACAGCACCAATACATTCACTAACATGACCGTCAGAATTGATGAACGTCAAAATTCAAAGCGTGGGAAATATCTCCGAAAACATCCGATTGCTCCCAAATCCGTGTGGTAAAATCCCGGAAACGTCCGAAGTGGCTCGGATTCGTGGGAAACGAAACTGACGTGGTAAAGTGACGCTTCCCGCACGCTAAATTGGTGTGTAATTAGGTATTTTACAGACGGGAGTAGAAAAAATATATAACATTTTCCTAACAATGTCAAAGTAAAAATTCATTGGTATCAACTTAAAAAATAAAACGCCGTGTCCTTGGCGTTGGATATTGTAAACAAATGATATAGAAAAAAGTGAAATCAAAAGATAGATTTTTTTTGGGTGTTTAATAAACGAATGACTATAAGTTTACCAAACGTGTTGCATACTCTACTTTTTCTACGACCATTAGTTTTTGGGTACATTTTTGCAAAACAACACGAATACATTCACTGACATGACGGTCAGAATAGAGAAACGTCAAAATTGAAGCCGTGCAGTAAAATCTCGGAAAACACCCGATTGTTCCCAGACGCTTCCTGCAAACTAGATCGGAGTATAATTAGGTATTTTACAGAATGGAGTAGAAAACACTTTTTTTTCTATTATATTTATGGTTTATAAAGGTAACGGCCACTTCTTAGTTAGAAATAAATGGAGAGTAAAAGTTTTATATAGGACTAAACTTGGGTCATTCCATATAAGTGCTATAGGGGTTTTATAAGTGTAACGAAAATATTTCGAGAACAATTGATAAGTTCGGGGGTGTATAAAATCTAAACACGTAACCGTTAGAAAATGTTAGTGGTATCGAAATATACCTTCACTCACCTTGAATCCCTAATGATTGAATACTCAAAAAAGGACACCGAAGTTTTGACGTTGATAAACTCAGCCTCTTCGAAGGTGCAATTTAGAAACTCCACGTGGTTCAAGTTGATGTGTGCGAAGGTAACTCGACGGAAAAGACAATCTTTGTACTGCAGGTTCTCGATTGTTTCATTGAACGTCCCGCCGAAGCTAACGTCCTGGACAAATTTCCTGTGGGACCCGTACTCGCGTTCGCGCTCCTCCTTGATGAGCGTGGTAGAATACGTCGATATGCCCATGTAGACGAGTCCCACTAGGAGGTGCACGGTGGCCAAGAGGATGGTGATTCTGAAGCGCGCGGGCGAGAAAATTTTGAAGAAAGCCTCGCGAAACTGAAACACGTGAACGTTAGCGCTAGATTCGAGAAGCAAGACGATAAGTAGTAACTGTGGCGACGCCATCCGTTAGCAGGTTCCCGGGAGAAGTTGGAGACGTTTCTCGATATGCGCTTCTTCCCGGCAGCTCCAGTTCCGTGAGTCCATATTGGGTCCTGGTTTTGTTTAATTTGTGCAGTCTCTGGTATACTGCTAACGCCTCGACCTCTCTAGATGCTTCCAATAGGTATCTGGGCGACTCGGACGCCCACAACAATCCTATTATACATCCGATGGTCGGCAGCGCGCTCAAAATGAGAAACCTAGGACGCATAAAATTCGAAGCTGCATACTTTTGAATTTGAATTTGAAAATTTTGAGTGTTGGCGAAGAGATATTTCGAAAAGTTCCTATTTGCAGTCGCAAATATATCTACAAGAGCCGGTATGTTTGATAGGTACTGGTTGTTGACAGAAACTCAACATTTGAGTCAAATCAAAACTTTCGTGGACTAAACATAACTGGACATCTATATCGACGAAAGCAGGCTTGGTGTGTGGAAGATTACCGAAAGCGCGTGATTCGAGAATAAAGAGAAACATTTAATAAAGATTGTATCAAAATTTTCGCAGGACAGATGCGATATGCGGTTGTATGTTGGGGTTGGGAACTTTACATTGAAAACGAAAAGGGCTAGTACTAAAAAAATTAGTAGAAATCAAAGCACATCTGCTCGTCTGCTTCTGCTGTCTTGTCAATAGGATAACTTGTACATATGCATTCTATGAATTTGTTGAACGTTTTACCTATGCCAGGAGCTCCAGTGTTCCCTGTTATCGTTGACCAAGTCCTCTCCGAGGGTCGGCATAGTCGCGCGAAAAAGAACTGCGGTGTAAATCGCGCCCAGTGGCCACATCGCGTATAGAACCCCCACGTACCTGGAGCGCGTCGCCCTCGAACACGTCTCCGTCAAATATGCGAAAGATAGGGGGAACGCCCCAGCTACACCGAGTCCCGAACAAAATCTAAAAATCGAAAAGACACTAGCTGAAGGCATCGATCATAAAAATATTCACTTTTTCACTGAATGTACAATGCACGCATGCACGAATGAACAAATAAAAGAGATAGGTACGTTTTTTCAAATATTGAACGCGACCGCTAAAATTTGGATCATCTTCAAAATTATTACACCCAACGTTTGTCACATTCTGTGGGAATTTCCGTCAATATCGTCAGGTGTCTGTTTAAGTCAATTCATATCCCCATGTTTTCTCAGGATTTTGTTTTTGTATTCACGTTTTTATCTCAGTTATTAAATGAAATACGGAATTTAATGTCAAACAATAAATTTACCATATTGCAAAAGGAGTTTCATAATGTCATACCATATACTGCAAGAATAGTACAAAATTAGTTAAATGAGGTGAACATTGAGACCTTGGATAGGTGTCCACGTACTCTAGAACTTAACCCAATAGGCCATTTATGGGATCAAATGAGACGTAGCTTAGAGATCATCAACCCCGTCCTGCCTCCTTGGATGATATAAAAAACATTATCAGGAAAATATGGACTAATATCGATCAAGCACAAATGAAATGTGTAAATCATCGATGACAATCAATTATACGTAGCAGAGGAAACGCCTCATATTAGGTTTTCATTTTATTAAATTGTAATTTTAGCGTTTAGTATTTTAGATAAAGATGTGAACAAAAAAACAAAATGCATGCATTGACTTAGACAGACACTAATCAAAACTGGTTTTTCTTTAAACACTCTTCTAAAGATTTAAGTTGCAATTTTTAAAAAGTTTTCAGATTACCTACATTTTCAAGTCAATTTGGTATTTAATATTAATATTAATATTAATAAGCAAATTTTGTTGTAAAATAAATAGTGAGCTTATAGACACCCGGACAATTCATTCAGTGTTGCATTGTCGGACCTCTTGAAGCGACCTCGAATTCAGCACTTTAAAACGTTATTTTGTTGAAAACATATCATGACTTTTTTTGCAATTAAAATGCAGATCAATTTTAATTGTAAAATTTTATAGAACCATTTTTCCCAGAAATATGCTTTAAAATGAGATATTCCTTCATTTTAATATATCACAATAGTCCCCTACATAAAAGGACGCCATATTCACCAGGTTTGCTTTTTAAAAGCTTACAGTTTTATATGGGCTCGCCAGTATTATTAAACCTCTTGGAAACTTTTATATAGTTTTTAAAATTGTGCAAAACGATAGAAGTTGGGAAAACAGCACCGTAATTGACGGTCGTTCCATGACCATGAAAGGGAGGTTTCATAGTAGCATAGTATGAAAGTTTTGCGGAATTAAAGTCTAAGAGTAAAAATAATTAGGTATTTTAGGTGCACCAAAGATTTTATAGTTGGAATAACATAAAAGTTTTGGATGCAATATTTCAAAAATTAAAGTGTTATAAATCTTTAAAAACTTTTTAATTTTTCAAACAAACTTTCACAGGTCATTGTTTACACATCTCCTGCATTCCTCCTGTGTATGTTGTGAAATTTCAATTAATTTCTGAAGAAGCCAACAGGATGATTGGCGAAATGTGAGCAGCTTTCATTTATCAACCTCGTCAATTCATCAGATCGATGTACCTATTTTTTTTTAAATGACTAGTTGTGTGTTTTATCTTACATATCTATATATTTTTTGCAATAGTACAAAAAGCTGTAACGGTAACAGGTACTGAATTGACTGAACCAAAATTAATTGTATACTAGTTTGCAGAATTTAATTTTATAGTTATTAGGAAGGCTGCAAGTTGGAAAACCCGCTCATTATCATATTCATTTTGTTATTATTTTCTCTAAGAAAAATACAATCTATATATGCTACAATGTATTGCCGAGGACTAGAAAGATTCATCACACATGCACATACGAACAGGCTGACTAACCAAAGCTTAAAATGAATGGTTAGTGGTGAGCCAAACCGTGATTCTAGTGTGGCTACTCTAGTCTTGTCACAGTGGTAAAGAGCAGTGATTCTTTGAAATAGTTTAACTTTGGTCGTGGTGCTACAATACACATAGTAGTCATCTGGTCGTACTGAAAAAACTCTTCCTTGCAGCTCTACCAAATTGTGGTTTGATTTTACGGTCCGTTTTCAGCGGTACTGCCAAAATTAATAGGAACATACAGACATACGAAATGTTAGAGTTTAGATAACTGAGTACATGTACACAGTATATTCATAGTGTTTATTTAGTTAGAAATTGCAAAGCAACAGAATAAAATGTGAGTGAATGTCACTTTAAAACGGCTGGAGCAGACCGAGACTGCAACAGCGATGTAGCAGTGACAAAGTTACAGTTCGTGAAATTGGAAATCCCCCTATGACTGGCGCTCGGCACAGTATCGTCGAGGTTATTTTTAGGTTAGGTTAGGATCGTAAACTAAAAGTTCTTCTGAGGAGAGAAGGGCCCACCTGGCCGTCATAAATGTGCCGTAAGTGGGCATCACCGATGCCACCGCCGAGAACAAAGCGGAAACAGACAACGCAGCTATCAACGACCTGCGTCGACCTATGTAGTCGCCCAAAATGCCCCACGTTGTAGAGCCGGTCGCCAGCGCGAGTAACGTGATGGACACTGAAGTCAAAGAATTAAATTTTAGCTACGTAATTAACCATTATTCGTTACCGAGCCATCCTTTTTTTCTTTCCTCTATACATAAGTGCAACTCTGCGGCGGGAAGTATAAAGTTCAGCATCGTCGATTCGCCGCACTCGGATGCAAGGCCAAACCCAAGTACGACGGCGAGCAAGATTTGAGCTTTGCCGGTCGTCGCTTGAGACAACGCGTCCTCGTGAAAACCAACCAGCGCTTCCCCATTGTTCGACAGTGACGTCTCTCCTTAAGTAATATAGGTCTATATGTTTTGCTGTGCCCATATTGAAAAATCGTTTTTAAGGTAAAAATTCCGAATAATAATCTGTGATGTACTAAATAAATCGTCTAGAAGTTCAGATATAAAAGTGTTAAGGTTTAAACCCCTCATAAATAAATCCATCTTAAAAGCATTTAAAGATGTTGTTTCCTCATCGCCAATTACTATCTCTTCCTCTAAAATTGCGACTTTGGACTCCTATGGTATTGATATTAATAGAACAGAGAGAGTACAATAGGTCGTGCTGGAGGTTTATTTACGGTATTCGTCAATACAAAAGAGTGTTTTAATGGAAATTGAAAGAAAATAGAAGGGATATGCACTTCCTCGTTTGTTTTTTTGTTTTTCCGATTCAAAATCTTCTCTGTATTTTTAATGAAATTAAATCTAGGAATGACGTGCACACACTTAATCGTCGATTTCGGTGGTGTATCTCTCCTCCTCGAATGTTCATTTACCGATTTCTCTCTGATTTTAAAGTTCGAAACATTCGCCCTTTTAGACATAGTGTTAAAAATTACCTGTTGGCGTTGTAATGGTCTAGTATTAGCCATATCTGAATAATAATGTCTTAATAATCCTCATTTGTTATACCCATATAATAAAAACAGCGTAAAAATGAGTAAACTGCCGTAAAAATGCCGCATCCAAACTTATTACCGAATTGTCAGCGACCATGTTGTTATTGAATGTCGCAAAATCATAAGTTTCAATGTTATCGACATAGGCAATATCTCTAGTAGCTACGGATCTTTTGCAACAAGATCCGTAAATATCAACAAACCCTGTCATTTTTATGTCAACCAGAAGTGGAACCACGTTTCATGCGAAAACGTTAAAAGTGAAAATTGACTAAGAATATCCCATATGGATATTAAATCGTATTGAGGCCGTAAATGCGGTAAAATTGTATACTTGTGCAACTATGAGGTGTGAGAAAGTTGCGGCAGCAGTCTTAACGGTTCAACTTACGGGTCAAATATACGAAGGTTTATGATTAAGCGCAATAAACTGACGTGGCTCTGTTATAAGTTCTTGTGGTATGTGTGTGAAATAATACGAGAACAGCATCGCACGATGTAATCCATTTATATCTTATTTAAAATGTAATATGGAAGCCGGTGTTTTGTTGAAAGCGAATCATATAGTTACTAGAGATATAGATGCTCCGCCTATACCGACAAAACAGGAATATATGGCGCAACAATGAAATTCTTTTTAAGATCTATTCAACATGCGCATGCGCGAGATTGAAAATCTCGATTTGGACCAATGACCGTGTGACATTCAATAACCAATATGGCCGATCTCGTTAAATGTTCTGTCGGTAAGCTGCAAATACATTGTTAAAGTGTGTTAGATAGGTTTAATGTTCAGGATGATTGTAATTGAATGTTTTTTTATTGATATCCAACAATCGAGGAATTTGTTTGGTGTTTGGATTTGAAACCAGTAAGCTTTTCTTTTAATGTTGCACACTCGGATAAATCTATAAATCGCACAAAATAGCGGGCGATACCAAACAAACTATTTTTTAAAGACATATATATATAAATATAAACCAAGCAACGCAAATATGAGACTCCTAAATTTTGTACTGCCTTAATATTTTTGTAGTTTTAATTGGAATGCTCAGCATATTGTTTAAATTTTCCTTATCCCTACCTATTCGTAAGGCAACTAATCAAAAAACGTTCTGATGTGATTGCATAATATGTTGATATTGTTTTTATATATAATGTTTTGCGAAAATTGCATACTTTCAGGCTCCAATTCATTTTGCGTCTGTTCCGGAGGCGGGACTAGGCACGCTGATTCCTCGCACATCTTCATTCCTCGATGTTAGCGATTGTTAATATCCTGGCTTTGCTTACTCCAGACCTAATGTTTGTCATCTGTAACGAATTTGCCACCGCACTATTTCCAGGTTCCGTATGGTGTTTCTCAAAGTATATCGTCTTGACTTTTGACGGACTCTCCTCCAAAAAATAATTACCACCTTTTTCAAAGAAACTTCCACAGGCTGCTGTAATACTATTTACAAATCGTTTGGTTTCCTTTTGCTTCAGTTGTTGATGATCCTGTTAAGAGATTTCTATAGATTCTTGGATTTTTCTTTGGTAAGAAAATTGAAATTCTGCGATATAATCCATTCTTCCATAAATCCATAGAAATGTCTAAACAAACAAACAATCTTAACCGAGTTTCAGGTTGTTTCTTCAGGGACAATGTTGAATAACCCGTTTTACCCTATGTTTCGAAAAAAATTACATGCAAAACAAATTGTGTATGAAAAAAAAGTTTTTTTTTTAATATCACCGTCTGGACGGTAGTGAACAAGATATAGTAAGAATTTGAATAAACTGAATTAAAAGCTAGGAACTCAAACACCCTTCAAAAACTTATTTCAAAAATGGGATTTCAATACCGCAAATAGGCAAAGAACAAGTGGAATCGCACAGATTGCACAATTGGAGATTTAAATAACTTCAGGAAATTAAAAAGTGTGGATCCGAAAGCAGGTGAAAAGGTTCGATAGACATATAATATTTAACCCTTATATTTTTAAAACACTTTAAAAGACCACCCAGGGTGCTCCGGTCAGATGTTTGCAGATTATTTCGATAATTACCGTCAAAAGTCAAGATGATATATTTTGAAATAAAATATTCGTACGTAGTTAAGGCATATTGAGTCTATTTTGAACGGGAAACATAAATATAATTTGTGCTTTTCGAATCTGTCGAGAGAACTCCGTAAGAAAATAATTAAGAAAATAAATTTAACCGCAGTCTATTTGCTTACCTGATTGATAGAATTGAAAATAGAGCCAAAATACACAATTTTATCATTATTAACCGAACGAGTTTTTTGATATTAAAATGTGCGGTCAAAATTAAAGCGGAAATCCATATAGTTTACTTCCATCGATACTGTAACATTATAATGTGAAACGTAAAGATTATTTCTGACTCGCGAAACTTTTGGGGTTATTGTTTGCAGTTTAATCAGATTGCAAGGTATAGCACACAATATACCGGCTTCAGTTATATTGATCAACCCCCATAAATACCTTGCCAAAAAATCAATAACAAACTGTCTCTTCTATCCTTTAGGCATATGTAAGTGTTTGGTTTGAGTATTTTAAGTAAAAGCTGTTATTAATTTTCGTTTGCCAAAATAATGGATTAAACTCAGAAAAAAACTAATCAAAACTGTTTGCCTTCATCTCCATATTTATCTAGCTTTTGGTCATAAAATACTAAGCTTATTAGTTGATTTTACTCATGACGGGTAGGTATGTACTATAGATAAGCAAAGTAGTGTAGATAATGACTATTTATAAAACAAAATAAAATAAAAATATATCAAAATTACTGCTTGAATATTGTGGCATTTGCCAAAACAGAAACTTTTCGCACAGCCTCTGTGAAGTCGACCTAAATTGGCTCAGGCGTGATAGAAAAGTGACGCAAATTTTCCAAAAGGTAAGTAATGAGGATTGTCGTTATTTGGAGACATTTGTAGGATGTGAAATATGAGCAGGAATAGATGAAGGGCAGCAAGCGAGACAGTGCTCCAGAGACAGAGAAACGGGCAGCATCCATCTAGGAATACCAGCGATTGGGACCGGGATCATTGCTGTGTTTGTGATGGGCCCCGTGTAGCAGTTCGAGGGCTACATGTGGGACACCCCCATTCGGCCAACTTTCTCTCAATCACGACTTGTGATTATGTACATATATTATTGTATTGTACATCAAACTTTTTTTTTAATCCTCTAGTTCCTCTGTGACATCTCTTGCTAAACCATAAAAAACTAATTGAACTAATTACTTGCAACAAACAACAGTAGATGACGCGCAGCAGGCGATGGTGACATCATCTCCTCTTAAATTATAAAACGATTAAGTTGCGGTCAGCCTCGATAGATAGGACGCGTAGACTGTAGACAGTCGCCAAAAGCCAACACATATCTTCATTTTTTTTAAATTAATTATTTCAAAAAATTATTATCCAAAATAGACATCTTTTATTTAAAAACAATTTATTTAGTTACCATGTTATTTAAAAATTTAAATACTAGAACACAAGTTACAGAAGAAAAAGTGACTTAAAAGCCACTAAACAGATTTCCTATTTATATTACTCACACCAAAAAATTGAAAACAGTTTGAATTTCAGGTAACGAGTTATCTTCGCACTCCGAGTCTTTACAAAATAAGGGTTTTTAGTTATACTATATTATTTGATATTTTAACAGAGAAAAATGTATAAAACTAGAATTTAATCACCGTCTCTCTACACTCCGTCATTACTTAATAAGAGAACGCAGAATGAAATTTGTTGGGTTGGTTCATAGATAACATCTTCGTAGTCAATATCAAGTCGAAAAAGCTTTTATTTATTTAAGAGCATTACACACGGCGGTTTAACCTCCGCTCGCTCGTAGCAGAATCCGTTGTATTCGTCCCAGAAACCTTGATAACGGTCTTTTTTCGTGTGATTCTGTTTTGGAAGTGTTTGGTGTTCGTCTTTAAGCGTTTAAGCTTGCCGACACCACTGTTTTAACCGTTCACGTCGATATGAAAGCCTGATGGTCCGTGGTGGAGGCGAGGGAATGCCGGCTTTTTTGGTATCGGTCAAAAGTGTTTTTTGCTAGCTGAGCGAATATTGGTTATATTTCTTCTTTTTACGTGTTAATCTATTACTAAAACCGATAATCCTCGACGGAAGTCGGCACTGTGCAAATGATCCTACCAGTCTTGCCCAATAGTAATTGTGAAATGCATAACTGAATTGTATTACTATGAAAATAGGAATGGTAAGTCAAAACTAACCAACCAAAATATAATATAGTTGTCTATGGTCACTATGTCACAACATTATTTTGACAATCCTGTGAAATTAATGATTGTCAAGATTTGTTGCTATATTACGATATTGTTGTAGTTTTTCTTGTTTCCACCTTAAAACCATTGAGAAATGGGTTTGTGCAATTGCTTGGACAACGTTAGTTTGCCCCCTTGCGCATGGTTTGAAGGGGACAAAAGAAATTCTTATGCTTCAATGATTGCAGGACTTCTGGTATCTAGGTTTTCTGTAATGAAGAAATCATGTCTGACAAGCTTTGTATTTTGTCTTAGTTTTTCGCCGGTTGGTGGACCCTGATTGACGCGGCTACTGTCTATCCAGGAAAAATCCCAGCCGGTTACTGGATGTGCGGGGTGGCTGGCACTCTTTCTTTAATCATGGTTAATTCTGTGTCTAACGCACAGGTAAGGTACATTTATACTCTATTGGAAGCATCTTGCCGTCATATTAATTTGACCCATTTGACATTGGCCAACATTTTGACTGTTTATTTTACTGAATTTCTTTCTGTATCAGCTAAAATAATTAAAAACAAATAATGAACTTATTCTCGGACCTACAAGACAAAATTTTCAGTTTATCTGTCCAAACATTTCAATTTCAAGTCTATAAAGGTGCAAAAAATTAAAGGGTCAAGCTTTAATAATATATTACTTTTAATGCATTTATTTATTTACTGTATAGATGAGGGGTGACACATATGAAGGAGGCTGTTTGGGAACCCGTGGTGCGCGGATATGGATTTTTGTTGGATTTGTTATGGGATTTGCGTCGGTTATAGGGTCTTGTGCCATTCTTTTCACAAAATACATTAATGAAGGTTAGACTAATTGTATTCAATGTTGAAGTGTCAAATATGTGTTTGTTTCCTATTCCAGATCCACACTACCCGGGAGTAGCTTTGTTCCTCCAAAATGCTCTCATTTGTATTTCATCTATCATCTACAAATTTGCCCGATCAGAGGACTTATGGGGATAATATTTTGTGATCATCACCAAGAGTTGTTTACTGCTAAAATATCAAAGTGATAGCATAGCAGATTTTCTATCACTATAAGTCAAATGTTTAGATGTAAGTTTGTATATTTATTCCTTCTCTAGTGTATGTTTTCAGAAAATGTGATAAGTATATTTCAGTTTAAACCATGATTCATTTTTGTTATTCGGCTAATGTGTGTGGGTTTAGCCTGCTTTATACAGATTACAGTAAAAGAAATACACAATAACAAAAACAATTCTTTACCTCAGTGCTCCCATCAATTTTTATGCGCTTGCTGATAGTATATGTATGTCGCAACTCAGAAATCTTTAAGAGTATGCCATCAGCAAACATTTCTTATCTCTCTTTGTCTTTGCCACTTGGGGTTTCTCATACTGACAGATAATAATAATATTTTTTTGTTGTCATGTGAAAATTGTATTGGAACATCAGTAGACGTCTACCATCTGCTTGCTGCTGCTGGGAGAATGGTGGGAAAATGTAATCATTTTCAAATTGTTTGAAAATAGATTAGTAAGAGTGCTTAAAATATCAAGAATTAGATAGAAACTTTTAATTTTGAATGCATGTCTATAAAAATAAAAAAATATATCTCTGCCCATGGTAACACAGACAGATAAACATATAAAAATATTATTTTTAATTTAAAAATTGAAATTAATAAATTAATTAAAATTGATTTAATTAATTTACCATACGGAATAGGCAGAGGTGAATGGGCGAATGGTTTGTTACAAATGGAGTCCAACTTAACCCGTGTTAATGAAGATATAAACACTGAATTTCTCACATTGGAGAAACCTAGGTATAGCATAAACTACTCCTAAATTTTTCATTAAATTTCCAAATTATATTAAACAAATATAATTAAAGACTTTTAAATGAAAAATAAAAATGTTCTTAATTACAAGATGATTCTATGCTGTGAAAGATTTCTTAATCAGTGTGCAGATTGACCTATTTGTGTATTTTACATTTAAATTAATTAAAAATTTATGACCTATGATATATATTGGGAAATGCCAATTAAAGCTTTATTGTCATAAAAAGAGATCTTTGTCCTATATTACTAAAGACAGTCATGACTTATCGCCATATCTGTTCTTAGATCAAATTCCAACAGATGTTTTGGCACTATTTTATGATCTAAAAGCAGTGAAAGTGAATTAAAAAAAGATATGATACCCAATTGTCAGGAAAACAGGTGTTTGACAAAACCTTAAATAAGAGTATAAATTTAAGTTAAAGTGATTGTAAATTGGCCACATCTTACGTGGAGAAATGTATCTTGTGAAGGTAATCATGAAAGGAAAAATAGAAAGCAAATGAGGTGTTGGAAGAAGGAAAATCTCTAGGTTGAAGAAGAGCCAAGTAAACTGGTTTAACAAAAATTGAACTGAAGTGGCTTTTACTTGATGAAAATCCATTTATCAAAATAAATAAGAACTAAAAGTTCAGATTTTCACGAAATTATATATTATGACATGACAATTGTTTCGACAACACTGTGTCTTTATCAATCAACACGGTGTTGTCGAAACAATTGTCATGTCATAATATATAATTTCGTGAAAATCTGAACTTTTAGTTCTTATTTATTTTGGTTTAACAAAGCTTTTATTGTTTGCTGGGTAAACCTAACAGCCAATAATTTTTTCATAGGCAAGGGGCGAGTCTGTTGAATAACCCGTTTTACCTTGCGATTCGAAAAAGCTTGTAAGGATATCACTAATTTCAACAATTCTTGAATGAAAGAAGAAACAGTGATTTACAATCTCAAAATATACCCAAATGTAATAAAATATCGAGGATAAATTAAACCCTATTGTGAACAAAAAAACTTGTATTTCAACAAACGTCGTGCTGTTTTTAACAATAATAAACGAAATTAACAATCATCAATACAGATACCTATATAACCTAACATATTTACAATTAAAACGAAAAACATGTAGCCTTGCTTAAACATAAACCTTACCTCGGTTAAAGTTCATAACTTTGAAAACAAATAGGCTAATAAACGTAATGTGCCTAGAAAACAGGCACGGATAAAATCTCCCGAAAACTGAAACCTGGTTTCAACATCCATACGGTATATAATTAATATAGCACTTAAGATTTGATATCCGGAACGTTCCATCCCGCCTAAACGTTAACCAAAATAACTTGTTAAAAAATATACACATCGACGATAGTGGGATTCGTAAAATAGGACTCATCTAATAAAAACAGGTCACTTAAAAATCTACATCAAGTAAAATAAACTTTTCTTGTTATTTTATGTACATATATATACGATCTAAAATAAGGTATATCACAATAACATATTTGACACAAAAATCAGTTACCTATATTCTTTGATATATTATGTTCAGTGGCCTGTGAAACTCTCCTCAGCATTTCTTATAAAATTTCTTTCTTATAAAATTTTATTTCCCAGGCGACTGCTGTTGAAATATCACCGAGTAATTATAAAATATTGTTAATAATTATAATTACTGTTAAATGAGTGTGTGCCCTTTTAGAAGGCCGATGTGAACAGGGCAGATCCCAAATTACGCAATATTTACCAGTGCCGGTAAGCGTTTCATTGTGGCCCTTGTCGAACATTTTTACAGGAAACAGTTAACCTGTTCGTCGTTCATTTACCAACCGTGGCCACGTAGAGAAACAAATTTCTAACCCAAAATTTCTTGAGTCTAGGACGAGTTCAAACGAATATATATGGCTCTCTCGACTTTAGTCCAGGGAATTTGCTAAATATGTAAAATTGCACTACTCTCCGTCTCTCTCTCTCCATCGATATAATATTTTTTGGGGTACGGCACATTTAACAAAAATATTATATATGTATCAAAGGTATATAAATCCTACGATAGAATCTGTTTGGTCAGTCTTAAATTGGGCGCGAGGGGAAAGGAGCGGGGCAATATGAGGATACCTATGGTTAGCTATCGGTGTCGACGTCCGTTGTTATGTCCAGCCTATGGGTGATCGACTGTAACTTTCCAGGGTCGTTCATGAACACTTTCTGGGCTAAAGTCTGGAACAAAAGGAATGTATTCTCACAACACATCCGACTTACTCTCCGACCTTTTGAATTAATTGGAGAGTCAAGGATCAAATAATAAAATTAATGATCTATGCATCTATAAAATAGTATATTATGCATCAAATGACACTTTCCGCACGCTAGATTGGTGTATAATTGGGAATTTTATAGAAGTAGTGTAGTGTTTTATATATGTACATGAACTTACTAAGTTTAAAAGTATTTGTTAACCCTAATTAATGTCAATTTTCAATTCAATGACAAATAGAGTTGAGACTTTTAGAAAAAACTTAATTTAGATTTTGCAATTATCTACTCGCTGAATTATTAATGAGTCATTTATCCACTTACCTAGTGAACTATATATAAGTATGCCTTTAAAGGTAACTATGTAATATTTGAACTGGTATTTGTACATTTGATATTTTATTTTTACCTTGAATTCAATCATCAGCATTTTCAGTTTATCACAAATATTAACTTATTAGATGTATTAGAAAAAGTTTCTGTCTCGTCAAATTCTAGTTACAAGGAATACAAACAAACTATTTTCCTAGAAACCTTTTACTGCTGCTCTTCATGGTAGTTCCAGTATATATTTTGATGACAATTTTTAACAATAATAGCAATAAGGTATAATATCAATACGAATAAGATACCGGTCGACTACCAAGAAAATATTTAAGTTGCATTTTTCTTTGATTTCATAATGCAAAGAATAAGTAAAAAATTCGAAAATTGGGTTTAAAATCATTACAATTAGTTTACCACAATGAAAGTACGACGAAAGTAAGCAAAAAAATTATATGTTTTGAGTAATTTTTGAAATCTGTGAGGAATCATGATTTTTATTAACCCATCAATACCTCTCTATAGCTTTATCTTAGTCATTACATAAACCTCTAGAATTTGGACATGATAATGTCCCAAAAGTTCATGTGAAACTTTTATTGTTTAAGGTTATTATTATATTAACGGTGTTGAGGACTGAGTAACTTTACAGAAAAACCTAAACAGTGTTACAGTATGGTTAAGTGAAAACAGTATGTTCCTAAATGTCAGCAGATGTTAGATAATAACTTTAGTTTTTTCAAGAATCAAATTTTTTGTTACTTGAAACAGAAAATACTCCATCAGGCATCGATAATGAACCTTTGAGGTTTATGCATGCAAATTTTGACATTATTACAGATATATTTTTCGCGGTTATTGAAAAATACATGAAAGAGGTAGGATCTTCTCCTCATGTCATAACACATTGTACATTATTTGAGTAAAACAGTTAAATTCTGCAAAGTCGCCTTAGTTGAACTGTTAGAAGGTTCCAAAATTTACCTTCAAGCTCTCTAAACATTGGTCTCCGTCGCTCGTATTAATCTCGGTCAATAAACTATTAGACCTCTCCAGCTCGGCATAGAGGCCAAAAGGTATTTTAGCCAAGCACTCTAGCTTCATAATGTGCATCTTGGAGCGTAGGTGTTTAGCTAGGTGACCGTGTATCCGGAACGCAATGTTGCAATCGTTGCACTTGAACGGACGTGGTTCAGAAGATGACTGAGCCGGAGATGATGACAACTGGAAACAATATAGTCAAGTTGTATAATATAATAAATAAATTATGTAATAAAGAAAGTTAAGGAAACCAAACCACACCAATATGTCTAAATCGATTTACCTTACTGTAATGACTAGCGCTCCGTTCATGTTTTTGTAGGTGGCCTTTTGTGCGGAAACTTACGGAGCATGAATCGCACCTGAACGGCCTTTCCAAGTAATGAATGTTCATATGAAGCCTGAAACAGAATAATAGAGATGCGGCAAAATAGGCAACAGCAACGACAATCATGAAGTAATTTTGTCACCTGGACATATATAATCTTCATTACATGACTGCTGTGCGTTCGTCCAGGTTGTGTTTTTTTAAATTATCTATTTGGTCGCATTGACTTGTACAAATGTCGATAATAAGTTGTCAGTTATGTGCTGTCTATGCGTTATTCAAATTTCAATATTAGCCAACATAAAACGGAACTAAAAGTCCAGCACTATAATTTAAAATTAATTAACTAAAATGTGGTTAAAAATACAATAAAAACGCATTCCAAATTCCAGCAAATCGAATCTTGAATTCCAAGATTTGTATAGGAAAATTTAGGATATTGTTGTTGATAAAGAATTGTGAGAGTATTTTTTTTTTGTAAAAAATTTGGAAGCTATTGACAATTGTCGATTTTAACTATTGGTCACCATGTGCAAAATCATATGGATTTTATTATTTTTGGACAACTCCAAGATCAAAACATACCAAACTTTTTCAGTAAAAAATCTGCCTAAAGTCAATTTGGAACTTCAACGAACAAAAATAAAAATGAAACAAATCCGACTACGTTTTGTTTTTGTTTTCGAACATTTTCCACTGATTTTTGCGATGAAGTAAGAACACCTTCTTTTCAATAATCAACCGACATATTGAGGGAAAAATAATTCTTTATTCTTGTGGCTCGTTTAATCCATTTTGTCCCAGTGGTGCGTTAATGCACCACCGATTCTATGATTTTATTTATCACATCCAGGAAATATTTTTGCACATCCACTTAGAAATTTTATTATTATCACTACTAAAGGACATAAAATGAAAGATCTTATCCAAACGTTAACCAAAAGTTAACAAAAGCGGTACATAAATTTGTATCACATTTTCGAGTAAATCGAAAATAGTAAAAAAAATATTTTGCATTTGTATTGCTATTTTTCTGAAGTCTATAGCATATAGATTACATCGCAGAAAACATACATGGCAAATACTATATTGATTATGCTTTATTTTTTGAAAATATTTACTGGTGCGTGAATGCATTACTGGTTTTATCTGTGAAACAAAACTTTGTTATTGCAAGTCTAGACAAGTCAGCGCATGAAGAATTAACGTGTTCTTTAATATTAGTTTGTGCCTTGTGTAGTGAAGTATTTGACTGAAAAGGAATTAGAAGCGGCTATGGAGGATATCGTGATGGATGAGGACAATAACAATGAAAGTCGTAAGTATTATTTGGATTTACGTATTCTTATGTATCGTAGCATTCCACTCCTTGTAAATTTATGCTAAAAATAACGTGAAAAAATATTTACAGAACATATTGACGCGGTCTATATACTTTGAATGACGAAGAAGATATGAACGATAACATAAATCTTCAAGAGTTTGGGGAACCAACTGATATTGTTGGAACTTTCGAGTTACATAAATACACCGAATGATACAGCTGTCCTTCAACAGTCCTGTAATTCAACTACTGAACCTGAATGGGACTCATCAGATGATGAAACCTTGGAATTCAAAAGAAGACGTATGGTTTCCGCAAACGACAGGCTTGTTTCTACTGTCAAATGGAAGAAATGTCTGATTGAGTACACTCACACACCAATATCCGATGAATTTAGATTATGTGAGGAACTAAAAAATAGGCTTTCTGGAAAAACTCCGCTCGAAATATTTTTTGTTTTTTGATGATGAAGTGATTAATGTGATTTTAAAATTATCGGTAAAATATGCTCAAGACAATAACCGCCATGAATTCTCGTTGTCAAAAAATGAACTTTTAAATTTTGTAGGCATTTTATTGTTCTCGGGTTATCATTGCCACATATTTAGCATTATTGGTCTACTGATGAAGACAAAGGAATTGATGTTATAAAAAAATGTATGAGCCGCAATAGATTCCAATTGATAGAGCAAAACTTGCACTTATATGACAATAACCTGTTGGATAAAAATGATAAATTTGGCATATTTTCGTTCAACTTATCCATAGATGAACAAATGTTACCTTACTTTGGCCGCCATTCCTGCAAAATCTTTATAAGTGGTAAGCCAGTTCGTTTTCCTCTTTTATAATATTTAGCACAACTACTTCTAATCCAGTTGTTGGAATTTCATGGTATCAAAATTCCTTTTTCCGAAACTTCCAAATTAATGTATTCTTTTATGAATTCTGGTAAACAAGCTGATACGATGAGGTCTACAACTAGGACACCCTCGAGTATAAAGACCACAAGCTTCCAAGGAACTTCTGTTTGTACGTATATAAAATACTTATCTGCCATTTCTGCATTAGTGTATTTCACCATTATAGAATTGAAAATCGTATTATTGAACAATTAATTGATTAAATAATATTTTTGTGATTAAATTAGTTGTATTTTGTACACAAAATAACTAAGTAATTAATTTTTCAAAGAAACTTCCACATGCTACTGTAATACCAATCTTCTGGATCCCTGACGCAAACGGTTCGCTTCATAAACTACCGACGCAAGAGGAATCCAGAAGATTTGTAAATAGTATAACTAAACAGTGTAAACTAAAGCAATAAATACACATGCTTTAAAAAGTGACAGCAGCTCACTAGATTTTTAGCTAACTTTTTTTTTACATTTATTTTTTTTATTTATAAGCATTATAAAAAAAAATTGAGGAGACAAAAGTTTCTAAATAACAAGTTCTTCCTTAAATTTAGTCAAGAAGAATGAAGGGGTAGTCTAATTCAGTAAAAAAAACCAAAAATATGGAAAAAGTGTATTTTTGTAATAGTGTATGTTCCATAGTATTTTATTTGTTTTTCTATTTTCGTTTTCAAGATAAAAAACAAACACATGCCCCTAATGGTTGGCTTATGACCTAATGTTGATATAACAAACCACCCCTTATTTTAAAAAAGGAATCACCCGCTTGGGTTTTTTGTAGTTGTTGTGAAACACCAAACACATTTCTCCGTAATTTCAGGAAAAATTCCCTTTCTATAAAAATACTTTATTATGCGTATATTCGTATCCAAATTAATCAACCCAAATACACAACGAAAGTAGAAAAAAAGAACTGTTTCCACTGACGCGACTCTTGTTTCGAAACAAGTTGAAACCTTTTCATTTTACCACTTTACCGAATGGGACCCGAAAAACAAAACGCGAACTGTCCCAAAACACCAGTCTTCAAAAGGTAGCGAAAAATTGAGTTTTGTTTTATTCGAGTTCGTGTTTTGTTGTTTGGTCCATTTAATGGAAACCCGACATGAGAAGCATAACCTTCACATCTGTAATAATAACGGACGGTTACATCCTGCTGCCTTTCGGCATCTGCTGGATTAAACACTTTCCCGATCTACTTTGGACGTTTCCGTTACTCATTAGTCATTAGACGTTTGCCGAAATGTATTAAAAAAAAATATTACAATTTATTTGCCATACCAATCAAAAAAAGAACATAATATAGAAATATTTATTACAAGTCATATCAATCAAAAGGAATAAAAAAAAAATGTAGAAAAGATATAAATGAACTCCTCCTAATACAAAGTAGTAAGGAAATCATATCAACAGTAAGAGCGAATGTTTAAAGCTTTAAAATAAGAGATCCATTGTTTATACAGGCGATATATGTAAACGAACGTTCGAAAACCGTATACTCTCGAAACTGAAGATTAAGCGTGTGCATGTCAGTCTATGTAATTTTATTAAAAAAACAGGGAGAATTCTGAGTCAATGAAATGCTATGGAAACAAATAAGTAATTTCCTTCTATTTCCATGGTTAACCATTTGATCACCTTTAGTTTATAACACACTCGTATCTACGAGTGCCGTAAATAAACTCCAAGTACGACTTTTTTTACCTTCACCATTCTATTAAGATCAATACTGTGCAAACAAGGACTTAAAATCAAGGAGAAACAGGCAGTAAGTGAACGAATTTTAATGTCGACACTACCACTGTCAAACAGTACTACAGAAATTGTCATTTATGATTGCTTCAGCGTAGTTTTGTTAGTTGATCATAGATATATAATCAAGGGATATAGCATTATTTTTATTTTAATGTAATATCTTGACAGAGACAACGTGCAGGTCGGGGGTTTCTTACCAATGCACCATAAATAGAATATTTGTATGTATTCCGGCAAGTAAATTATAACGTTAACTCGATATATAATGTATTTTGTTAAACTTTATCCATAATAACAAATAGTTATTTTTTAAACACTAGCCAGATAATTTACAAGAAATACCTTTTTTTTAATGAGATAACGTCAGAATAAATACTTATGCTTAACTTCGATTTTAGGTACGTCTGCTTTTGCTTATTTTTTGTGAGAACTGTGACTCTTTGGAAGTGAAATGGTGTTTTTGGATATTGCTGTTACAAAGACTGATGATGATACTTTATTTATGTACTGTATTTATGAATAGTATTTATTATCTATTGCAATTTCCAAAGAACACTCTAATGCATCAGATGTGGTTTGCATAATCTCTCTCGTTCTTTGTCTAAATACTTATATTCCCAGTGATGCGCCCTCTTTTAGTTGGACGTATGTGGTTGGTACTACCCTTGCCTGTCAAACAAACAAACATTAAGAAACATTAAATGGATTTTTTTGAGGATTCGGTTAGCTTCTCTAAATTGTCATGAGCGTAGTTTTTTTAGTCAGGCTTGAAAGAGTGATGGATCATCAGCATGGTCGTAGAAAAGGGGTAGAATGCAACATATTGATAAACTTTAGACACTCACTCCGCTGTGCTCAGATCGTGCCAAAACAAGCTTGTCACTAAAGTGACGTTTATCAAGTTCCTGCATAATATACTATTTTTGAGCATATAATGAATTGGCAGAATTATTCGTTAGTTCGAACTTATTACCAGAAATAATTGTGCCGCCTTGGATTAGAACAGAACACAATAAAAATATGCACACCTTAAAAGAGTAGGAAACTCACCTCAATTGGGACGGTCTATTAAAAGTTTTAGCGCAGATGTGACAACTCTTGTTGCCCTCCGGTTTCACGATCAACTCGTTAACGTCTTTGTTGATGGGTCCGAATACGGCAACGTCCCTGACCACGTCCCCGCTTCCCTGGTCGTTCTTAGTAGCCAGCTTCAAGTACTCGGACGCGACGCTCCTTGCCATAGTGTTTTTCTCCAGCTTAACTTGCTTGGTAGCCACGTCGGCCAAGGTTTCCATAGCGCTGTTGTCGTACTGCCTGTAATTGTTGTTGTGCATTTCATGGTCCGGCCCAGCGTATACTCGCTCGTCCGGACGGATGGGCTTCAACAGCAGCACTGGGATCTCGTCGCTCCTTCGATTTAACTCACAAGGATGGTGATCCCGCAAAAATCCGTTCGGCTTGGCCGGTTTCTCATGATTGGTGGACAGATCCATGACCTCGTCGTTCTTTTGCTGTTTCAGTTTATACTCGGGCTCCGCTAACAGTAACTTCCTTTTCCGATCGGCCACGTTCACTTCGACGACCACGTCGTTTACCTTCAGGGTAGGAACAACGTTTGGTGGCAACTCCGTCCCCCTCCCAACTTCAGTCTTTTGAGGCAGGTACTTTTGCACCACGTGGAACTGTCTTATGTTTTTGGGCGGTTCCGCTATAATTTCGGTACCGGTGGCGTCGTGATCGTCGATGGGCGACCTTTCTGCCATCGGGACCGATGAGATCGAAGCGTACGGGTAAGTCAGAGGCCTAGTGGTGCTCGTCTTGCCCAAATAAGTGATCAGTTTGCGATCTTCCGGTTGAATCGCGCCGCCGACTATCTCCGGAGCCTGCGGCGGGTTGAACGCCGACGGATTGGGATTGTCGAGGAATTTATTTTTCGCGTAATTTGTCTTTTGTACGTGAGCAATCTCCTCGGTGGTCATGAACATGTCGCCGGACGGGCTGCGGCGGGTGTCGGCGAATCGGGGCGGCGATCCCGACGAGGACTTTTGCGAGAGGGAAAGGAGGCCGTAGGCCGCCTCGTGCTCTTGTTGTCGGGTCGATTCGTCTAGAAACGATTCCGGCTTTCGTTACTACATCCCACGATATTTGGACATCTTTTATCTATGATTTGAAGTCCTGCGTGTGAGATATGTGGATCGTTTTAACCCTGAACCTTTCAAATTTGTCAAGTTACTTGTGTGTATATGTATACATGAATAATAATTGAACATTTTAAGAATTATGCGAACACAACACAACAGAACTGAACACATTAAAAATTATGCATAAATACAAAAATCGTCAGATGTTATGCAGAATATCTGGTATATTCCGTTAATATCGGTAACTAAAAGTTTTACAGGAATGAATAAACATTTAGTCAAAATAAATACTTCCGAATCACAGTAGTTATTTATTTAATTAAAAATTTATTTATTTATTTACTACATTTAACTACATATTGCAAAACTATTTATTTGAACCTGTAATTATTTTTTGAAAACCTTGCATAGTACCAGGAGCAATTGCGACTACCTTCCTAAGGAAACTTGTTACATTTGCGGCATCATTAACGTGCAAGAAGTCTGAACTTGAACAGGGCTCAAATTGAGATCTGACATATAATTGTTGTAATATTCCACTTTTGGTTCCAAGTGGCAATGATATTGACTATCTACTTCCATCACAACAGCAACTAAATTGCTTAATGATCCACATGCACGATCAACATTCGAAACAGGAACCTACTAAACATAGCGAAGATTTAGCAATGAAAGTCTTGAGCATTTTATTTGATTGTTGTTGAAGATTTTCTGACGAGTAACTTCCAAAACCCAAAATGCTGTTGCAAGACCACCTTTAAGTTTAGTGGCTTTATGTGGTAACATGTCTCAGAGTGCAAGATCTTGAATTCAATTTAATACTATAGGCAATTACCGCGGACACTAGTCCTAACCTATCATTAACAGTCACGCTACAGAGAAACTGAAACTAGTTACTTACTAGGAAATATGCATGTTTTAGATTTTATTAATAATTTCTGTATTTTTTTTAAGTTATTATCAAAATTAACGGAATATCCGAGATATTATCCACAATATCTGAACATTTTAGAATTTATTTATTCTTTTATTATTATTATTATTATTTATTTTATTATTCATTATTCTTCAATTTTATTTAATGGAAATGTGCGAAGATATCCAAAATTGTTCATGTTTCCCTAAAATGTGAATCACAGAATTCTCGAAAAATTTCATTAAAAAAAATAACCTAACCTAAGAGAGAAATCTATTTCCATTGATAATGAATAATAGAAATGCGGGTAAAAAGACATTTTTTTGTCTTTTGTATTTATCCACGATATTTTTACTGCTAAATTAATATCTAACTAAAAATCGCAATAATAATAAAGGACTTTAACCAACTTCCTTCCGTACTGGCACGATATTACTAATGCAGATCAGATTATATACGAAATCATTAGATCTCTTTGTTTAACCTTGAACTTTCTTCTACTCATTTTACTAGAGTTGACAGTAGAAAACTCAAAATTTACTTTGAAACAGGTACAATAATGAAATATGCGTTATAAGTGTTCGAAAAAATGTAAAGCACTTGTTCCGCTTTTTTAAAAACTGAAAGAAATCCAAAACAAAAAACGCAAAAATTGCAGTAATACTTCCCTTCTGTTTATGCTTGCAAAGTGCAAGTTGTAATTCGCAACCTACCGTTTTTTCAAGATAATCCGAATCAAAAATTTTGAATACAATGCTAAATTCTATATATCGTGTAATTTAGAAACAATACACAGAAAAAAATACGCAAAAAATTTTGTTCAATTTTCATTTGATGGGTTAGCGTAATAATATCAGAGTTGCAGTGGTTTTAGATTGTAACTGTTTTTGTGCTTCCTGAATGGAACTTCTTTATTATGAGTTTATTTTAATCATCAATTTTTAATCATGAATAATGGTAATAATATATATTTCAGAGTTTTCTTAAACAAAAATACATAAATTATAAAACCCCTTCCGCCATAATACATTTGTTCATTCCATCCGTAACTACTAAACAATTAAAGTTGGTCCGGACTGACTCGGATTACACTACAATACAGTGTTGAAAGTCTTCTATTCTTCTTCTATTCTATAAACTAAGAAACTTACCGCTGCTGTCCATTCCGCTGTCTTCGGTGTCCGATTCCGAACTCTGGGTGCCGCTTAGCTGTGTAGATGATCCGGAACCGCCTCCGACGCAGGTGTTTTTCGTATGCGCTTTGCTCTTCATGTGTTTGGTAAGGTTGCCTTTCGTTTTGAAACTGAAACCGGTATGTTAGACAAGTGAACTGCCGTATTTTCACGCTTTTTTACCTGAAATTGCACTGACTGCAAGTATAAGGCCTGTCATTGGAATGGGTCCTGATGTGCTTTTTCAGCATCGACGGTTTTTTGCAACGTATCCCGCACTGTTCGCACACGTACCGCCCTCGACCTGCGGGAGTTTGAATATTTGAAAATTGAGGTTTACTGGCTTCATGAGGTTTCACATACCTCTACCTCTTATATAGGGATAGTCGTCGTTGCATTCGAACCCACCAATCAAATTGGGCTTAAGAGTGTCTTCATCCTTTCCTTTGTTCAACGGCACTTCGGAGAGGGCAAACTGCAATGGGAAAAAATGACTCCTATTTTGAACACAAGCGGGATTTTAACACAGTATGCTGCCAAACTCGAAATAGATTTTCTTGGAACTTGAGTTTCGTATTAAGGCAAATAAGAAGGTAAGAGATTTTCTTGAACATTTTTGAAAAAAAATGGGTACAATCGAGTATATTCCATTTGGTTACGTTTATTTTGTTATTTTTACTTTATATTGCAAGAAATTGCAAAATAATTTCAATTTTGAGCTTAAAAATAGGCACAAAGCTTTTGGGTTTTCCAAAACTATTCAGGGAATTTTTTAATGAGAAAATCGATTCCGATCCAGTTTTTGGCTTATTGTTTAGGGAAATTCAGTAAGATCATGAAGAAATTTCAATAATTCCAGTAAAATGGAATGTTTTATTTTAAAAAATGTGATTCCAAATAGACGATGAGGAGGTCGCTTTCACACATTGTGATGATAAAAAATGTCAACGAACAATTTGTTTTAAAAAACAAAAAATCTGTTTAATGTAACCCACGTTTGTTTTAAACATACGAGCATTGTCCAAAAATAGGTTTTAGAGAACAAAAAAGTTAATATAATATCGGATTTTTTACTGTACTTCAAAAATGAAACATCCTTATTTTTTTTAGTAGTAGGTATTGGGATTATGGATTTTATTTATACACTCGCAAGTTATTATATGCAGAAAAAATTTTTTTGCATAAATTTTAACAATTTAATTAAAACGTCGACAGTTAGAGAAACCCTAAAAAACAAAAATTTTATTAAACCATATTTTTCTTGAAAAAAATTGCATGGTGTATTCTACCACCAAAAAATTGATAAACAAAACCTCCATCTTGCCACCAGTAATATATGTAGAAAGTGCATCGTGTCCGCTGGGCTTAAGTGAAGTAAGTAAAAAAACTAATAAAAATGTTGGTTACCTAATTTTGATTTTTGATAAAAAAATATCAATGCCAATAAAAGTTATGCCATGTTTTTGAAAACATATCTGATTTAACCTACTTAAACCTCACCTTAACGGTTCATAGCAAATGGTTCGTGGTTAAGAGTATCTTTAGATTTATGCTATGTCTTATAAGAAAATGTAATTTGGTTAGAATTCGATAACATCGAATAATCTATTCCGACGGTTCAGTTGGACAAGGTCAATCAAATTTGAAAAAAATTGCCTGGAAGCCTGTTTCAATTAGAACATGACTACTAATCTAACCTCAAATATACCCGCCACTTCGCCAGTCAATTAATTTTTCAGATTGCATTTGCTGACAAGAAAAATGACAATGACCGGTAAAAATTGTATGCAAGTCGTCTCTCGCAAGAATCCATCAGCTGCCTGCCAACCACCCCTGGCAAAATTTCTTTTACCGACCGAAGGGTCGATGTCATTTTTCTTGCCTGCCAGTTGCAATTCTGGGTACAAATGTAATGACTTTTATCACGGTTATAGTCAGGAACCAACTACAAACTGGAAAATGATTTGCCTAACAGAGAAGCGGGTATAGTGGAAGTTAACAGTGTTGGTTACTTTCAGGTTGTCTGTTTGATGTTGGTAGTCATGTCAAGCAAAATGCAAGATTTAAGGGGTTAAGGACACACGCTTACCTTATAACTCGAGTGAACAATCAAATCAGCAATGGCCTTCCCCGCCGTAACGTACCGTTGATTTCGCTGCCTCGAGTCGTATGCGCCCACGTACAACTTGTCCGTCTTATTGTCCTGCTGACGCCACTCCGAGTACATGCTCAGTTTCTTAAAATGAGGAACGTAGAACGGCTGTGTTTTGTTTAGGGTGCAGTACACCAGTCGCGTTGAACTCTTCAGCCCTAGGTAGCTGAAGTAATTGCCGTGCAAAAAGTGCTGCGCGTACTTTTTCTGTACCCGCGGAGTGTCCGGACTGATCAGGATCTGGTTGAACATGGTGGGAGTAAGCCCGTGATGCTGCTTTAGCGAGGCAGTGGTCGGCTTCAGGGCCAAACTATTTGGCCTGGCGAATTTCTTCGGCTCCCCCGGGTCTTTCGGAGGCGATATCGGCTTCGATTCAACCGACTTCGCCGTTTGGGGGTCGGTCCGATCTTCGGGCTGCGAATATCCCTTCGGTGGGGACGCCACGACCCCGATATAACCGGAATCCACAGGCGGATCCGCCGCGACCGGTCCAGGTATACCGGGAACGTATCTGACCACCTTGCCGTCGACCAAGAGGTTCATTGGGCCGTAGAAGTTGCTTCCGGATGGTTGTGCGATCACTTTTTTACGAACGAACGTCGGTGAAGGCGCAGTGAAAGAGAAAGCCGCTTGAACCTGTCCGGATGGTATCGATGGCTGTTTTATGTTGGGCGTTAGCAGTTTGACAGCGTTCTGACTAAAGTCCATAATGTTTTTGTATGCGGGAGCGGGTTCCCTCTCGTCCGCGTACCGCTCAAAGTTAAAATTGGTCTTCGCCAAACCGACCATATCGATTTTGGGTGACAACGCGTTGTTCTCGTACACCCTTATGACGTCCTGAGGTGGGCGGGCGTCCTCCTTACCGTAACCTGCCTTGTTAGTGAGAACGGTGCCGCCCGCCTGCAAGCTCGATTTTACCACTCGGTTCTCGCTCACTTTGGTGCCAAATTCGACGTAGTTAGGTTCCGGGTCGTGCTCCTTGCAGTCTATGCGGAAACTCTTGGTTTCGCCCGGGCCGCTGTGTATCTTAACCTCGCCGCCGAATAGTTTCACGGGCGGTTTTTTCTCTTTCTCGAACGGGAGCGGGGATAGTGAGAATCCCGACATGGGAATTTCACCGGAAGAGGCAAGGGGCAATTTGCCCGCGTCGAAGGAAAACGATTTGGACTTGTCGCTTTCGACTAGGCGCGTTCTACCGAGAAACGGACCGGGAGACTGGAGGGGGAATGCGGAGTTTTGCAGCTGAGGTATGCTGTCGAACGCGTTTTTATTTTTGGTGAGGATCGAGGCCACGTTCACGGAGCTACTCCTGAAACAATTCGGAATGTCAGAGACGTGCAGGACAGGCATTCAATTCTTCATTGCTTATTATTAAATAACAGTTTATTCCTATAACGAGGTATACGGGAAAAAATATCGCCAAATTGACAGCAAAAATTTGAACTATACATCAACAGTTATTTATCTCTAGATTTTTCAAAAATATTATACAAGGGTTATAAATTTACAAATTTTTTAAATTTTTGCCACATAGGACGTTACTATTCGCTTGCAAATCTCCACCACAGCAACCGCAGCTAGGTGGCTCAGAGCAAACTAGCTTCTAAATGGCGGAAAAAATAAAGCGGATGCTGGCAAACCTGCAACATGTCAAGGCAGCCACATACCGCCTTGAAAGGAGGTTTAAAGACGGTCAGATAGACTTCGCCCTCGTGAAAAGAACCGTGAATTTCACCAACAGACTGCAATAACGGCCTTGCTAACACCTCTGGCAAGGTAATCATCGCCCCATTTCACATAGCCCGTGCATGTATCCTTATCAGAAATGCCATTAATCATTTTGTATCATGCAAAATTCCCAGGGAATAGAGGCGGCATGGATATTGTCATCTACTCCGAGTATGTTCCTAGGAACAAGGAAGCAGGACAACTAATACCAGCAGTAGTGCGGGAAATGGCGGGCTACTGTAGGAGTACAGATGGTAATTGGCTGCGATGCAAAGACATACAACACAGTGTGGGAAGCACCGGTATCAAAAAATCATCAGCTATTCGCTGCAGATGGAACAACAGCCCAAACAAACAAAGGCCCATAGGACTTATAAGATCCGATACACTGGTGGTTAGTACACTGACTCCACTCGATACGCAAACTAACTGGAAAACGGTAAAAAAAATTATAAGGCCAAATGCGACAAAAAGAGCCTTTTTCGAAAGACGGAGCGAAACGCTTTAAATCGCCTAGGGTTAACGGGACTTATGCTACAAAATGAACTGGACATACTCCTTCCATACCTCGTCAAACTATTTACATGCCCAAAAACCTATCAGCCTGGCCTCAAAGCATGAAGAAACTTCTAGGTGTGGATAAGGGGGAGGTCCTTTCAAGGAATCCCTTTTATGCCCGCCAATATGCATACAATGCAAATAAATTAACAGAGCTAGAACTTAACCTGGTCGAGAGAGTAAGCCGGGCTTTGGAGAACAAATAGATTGCACTGCCAGAATCTCTATATATACGTGCTGAAAAATAGAACCATCAGGACGTCCACAGGGAAAGAGGTAGTCAGATTTAGAACCGACATGTGTTGTCTTCAAAGCGGGGTGTTATCTTTCTTCCCTGTTCTATGGATACGACTTGGACGCCCTACTGGTTATCCTTTCACTGTGGGAGAAGGGGTTCTACAGACACATGCGGACGAGTACAACGTAAAAGCCAAAAGAGAATATCTACTATCCAAGCCATCTTGGATACTATATTCAGAAGCAGAAGAAAACTAGACAATTTTGTAAGTCCTTACGTACTGGGTGAAACTATAAATTTCTCTGCTGAGGTTAAATATCTAGGAATTACTCTAGATATAACGTTACACTGGGTCTCTCATTAAGAAAAGACAATCCAGAAAGCAGAAAGATCGCTCTGGACACGCCTTAGAAATTATGGAGAATTTATATTTTTTTTATAATCAATAAAAAAAAGGTCCAATCAGTCACTAAAAATAAGTTTGTTTCATATTATTCGTCGGCATGTTAAAAAATATACTATTTACTGCTTCTCGCGAAAACCCAAGGGGGAGGTCAAAGACAAAGAATAGAATTAATTAAATTAATTTTGTTTAAAATTATTATTAATTAATTAATTATAATTAAATAATTAAAAATAAAGCCGGGCTGAATTACATACTTGTGTGAATTATATTTGTTGAAAAACTGCCAGTACCATACTGGATTCCATAACTTGAATCAAGTTAGTGCTAAATTAGACTTTTATTACGTCAAATAACCCCGTCAAAAAAAAAGTCAATTTTTAATATGAATTTAATGCCGACATTTCTACTTCAGGAATTATGAAGCACGTGTGTTTGAAGATGCCATAAAATATATTTGAAAATAACTTAATAGCGTTAAGGATAAATGAAACAAATTATAATTTCAACGACCTGCAAAGAAGACACTAACACCATATATTTATTTGCATAAATGTTCTGATCTCTCAAAGGTTAAACGCATTTTAATAAACTTAGTCAAACAAGTGACGTGACTGCGAAGCCTTTCCGTGCCATCAGGTGGCGTTTTCTGGAATAACCGCAATAAATAATAGAGACAAATAAGGGCCCAGCAACTCAGTAAAAACCATATTTCAATATTTTTATCCTACCCTAAAATATGAATAAACGAAATTAACTCTCGAAAGAGTTGAAATTTGGGAAATATTTCCACTTTACAACTTGCTATTCATTGGAATTTTTAAATAAAATGCTAATTTTTTATTTATTATATGACCCCTTACTTACCGTCATGACAACGTTTTGATAACCTTATCCGTTGTCAAATATATGTATTGTCACCAAGTTTCTAATTGAAAAATAAATTTTAAAAAAATGTGGAAAACCATTTATGAACTCAATAAAACATCTCCTTCGACAAACATAATTCTTTTCTAATTATCACGAATAGTATATTATGCAACAAGTGCGGTAAACGGCATGAGTTAAAAAGTTTACCGAACGTGTTGCATACTATACTTTTTCTACGACTGTTTTCAAAATTCAAAGCGTGGGAAATATCTCCGAAAACATCCGATTGCTCCCAAATCCGTGCGTTAAAATCCCGGAAATGTCCGAAAGGGCTCGGATTCATAGGAAACGAAACTGACTTGGAAAGTGACGCTTCCCGCACGCTAGATCGGTGGGTAATTAGGTATTTTACAGACGGGAGTAGAAAAAAGGTTAAAACAAATTTTTATATGACCAAACGCTACGCTTCTTTCATGTCGTTATTTGATACATGTCAAAGTCTCTTGATTGCCTACCGTTTTAATTACTTTAATTAATTTAAATGTTTATTCTATTAAAAATGCCTTATTTAAACTGATCGTAATCCAGTATAGCAATACAGCAATTGCATTTGCATTACAAATATCACCATTGATAGCCCAAGAAAAGCTCTTTTTTCTACTCCCATCTGTAAAATGCCTAATTACAAACCGATCTAGTGTGCGGGAAGCGTCACTTTACCACGTCAGTTTCGTTTTCCACGGATTCGAGCCACTTCGAACGTTTCCGGGATTTTACGACTGCAAGATTTTGCTTTTTTGGAATAATCAGCATTTATTTCTGAAAATTTTCTAACACCCCCGCACCACACTACACAAAGATTTATTTTAGCTTTACAATAGTACTCATTTTAACTATAGTTAATATTAGAAATTTTTGTAGAAACCGGGTTTTAAAAATTAACAGCAATTACGCATCCTGGCGTATAATTTCCAGCATGTTCCACTAGCCGATTTACGGCACAAAGCAAAGACTAACCTAGTATACTTGATCTCGGACGGCTTCCCCTTGCAGCTGCGCAGCTTGTGTAACTCTAGTTCGGTGACGGTCTGGAAGATCATCTTACAGAAAAGGCACTGCATATCCGAGTACAAGTTCTTCAGCAGCAGTTCCTTGATGAGACTCCTTTGAGTGCCGGGTTCGGTTACCTCGCTCAAGGAACGTTTCCTGTTTTTGTTGGATAAGTTCAGGGGTTCGTCGCCCACGGGTGAAACGCTTTCTACCCTGTAACCCTTGAGGTGGCCGTAATCGTTGTTGTTGTTGACACCGTCCGCCGAAACGTCACTCGGACGCCTTTTCAGCAAAGTGGAGTCGCCCGAGTTTACGATGGAATTATTTTTGTTGATAATTTCGTTGATGTGGTGCGACAAGTCTGGAGCGACGTGAGGCGCGGCCCTGTCTTCCTCGACGGTGACACTGACCGTGTGAAATCGCGGCTTGTACGGCTTGGTCGCATCTTGCGAAGTCGATTCAGATGTTTCGTCCTACAATCACAACGGTCTGTATAGTGTGGTTATTTTTTTCGTTGATGTTATAGAGTATAGGCCATAGATTTATAATCAAGGCAAATAGCGTTATTTTCCTTTTTAACGTGATACGCTGAAACAATATTTTTATTTTTTTACTATACACTATGCACAGAATAATATTTTATGTATTCAAAAGCATAGGTAAATAAGAAATTTAACTCATTCTACTTTAATAATGTCTTGCTAATATTTCGTTAAACATCAAATATTTCTTATTTAAGAGTACCTCGCAATATGGTTAGTTTACGCCATATATCTATTAGATAACATACTACGGTAAAAAGTGATGCGCAGGTGGCTGATATTCTCGTAGAGAAGGTGTGGATCTTTTGCGCGTGCGTCACCTCCAAATAACTGAGTTGCCACTTTGCCGTAATTGTTCTCAAAAAATTGACTAATTTTCATAAGAACGCAAAATCAGTCTCTGAAATCCGAACATAATTGGCAACGCCGAGGTAAAAATTGCTATTACCAGAGAATACTAACAGTCTGTGCCATTGTTGTTTACATTTTTGGTGGTTATGATTCTGATGAAAAGTGTAAGGAAAACAATGTGCCTATATACGGGTAAGTGTTGCTTTATGTACAAGTTAATTTAAAGGATTTAAAAGTGGTTTCTATTGAACTCCCACTCACAAACTAAATTACAAGTGTGGCATGTATGAGGACCTAATAGGATCTTAGACAAACCCGAGTGATTTAACAAACTGGAACGTACCCTTAAATAGCTACATAGGAAAAATGTGTGGGTAATATGTTTTAGTGTACAAGAATTACAGGAAATATAAGAAAACAAACAAGAAATACTCCTTGACAATTACAAATTCTTGTAAAACTCACTGCGGGAAAGTTTTCGTTTGTCATCACTCTTAGTGAAAATAAAATTGCCTTTTGGTCGGTGAAACATTACAGAAATTATTACCGCAGAATTACCAGAATCAGTTCAGCTGCAACTGCAACAGGAGGAATTTAAACGATAAATCTGCAGGATATTTTTGGGAAGTCTGAAGGCATTAAGTGAATACTGCAGTACGTACACACATAATTTGACATAGATAGATAAATAGAACAAGTTCTATCAATAAATACTGATTTTGCAAATCTCATTGTTGGATTCGGGACAACTTGAGTAGGCAAAATATTATATGCACAACTTGGGAAGAAGAGATCATGTTTTTGGACAAATTATGAGACTGATCCATGTTCTTTATCCCATTTTTTTTAGAGAGTCAAATGGTCCCTTTTTTTTCTAACCCGACTGATAAAACGTATTAATATGTTACCAACTTTTTTTCGGTCTAAGATATTTATATTTTTCCTGCATAATTTGTGACTGAAAATTTTCCATCTTGAACATATGATAAATTTTTATAATTTTATTTCAGCAGACACCAGCAGATCTTTTAATCTTGAAAACAACATTACAAGTTATAGAGAAGCCTGGCACAGAATAACCTGCGGTCATCAGTTTTTAAAAAGAACTTAAGGCACAGTAACATATTGTGCTTCTGAAATTTTGTTTCGAATTTATAGTTAATGAAATTTTTGCTTTAGTTATTCTACCAATAATTAAAGATAGTATTATAAATGAATATTTTTTTTATTGCTTACATCTTCTTTTTTGCAATTTTTAAATGTGGTGATCCTCTCAAATCAAGTAATGTAAAAGTTCCTTCAAAGGAGTAACACTGAAGCATCTTATGGCAGACGCCATTGTGCAAATAAAAAATAAATATTATTGTGCTATTAAAAAATGCAGCATTTATTTTTATTTAATTTCTTATTGTGTTTATAAGCATCACTATACTTTATTCTTTTCAATAAAGGTCTTATTAAATAATTCATGTATTTATTCATTTATATTTTTACATTGTCCAACTATATCTTCTGTGAAGTTCAAAATGAGTTAATCAAACACTATAAGAAATGCTATTGTAATAAAAGATAAGTCGTAGTTGTGACATAAACCACAAAAAAAAACTAACCACAATATTGTTTACGAAACAGGACTGGAGTGTGCATCTCGAAAAAAATATTAATAAGACAATTTTCCTTTTAGAATGTTTCATGTGGGCTTACACTTTTAAAATATTCTGAGCAATTCTGGAAAAGTAATTTTTGGTTATTTCAAGTCAAATTACTGTGTGAAATGATACTAGTATTTAAAGCCCGGTAGACACAATGTAATTTTTACATGTATTTTTAACATTTAACAATTGCTGTTAAATATTTAAGACGAGAATTTTTTGCAGTAGCCACCATTCAATTTTTGCTAGCAAAATGTTTTTTAAATTTTGAGACAATAAACGACACTCTTTAGCGTTTGAAAATGTTAATTTTGTTACATTTAGAGCTAATTGTTTACTGACTTGTTTTATACTAGTTTTTAAATTTCTTGGTTATATTTTCCAATACCTACATACCTAACGAAATTGTCCATTGGTACTTTTCATAATAATATATTTGGAAGGCGAAACTTTCTGCAATTACTAGACTACGTACAGAATTATACTAAGGACGCCGATCCGTCTGCTGTAATTCAGCATAATATTAACTCTGCAGTTGTCACTCATTTTTTAACAACACTTTCTACACCTTAATTCCTTTTTTGCCTGAAAATTTAATGGGATTTCGACATATTTTGAGAAAATATTGGCGTAAAAATGCAGCATCCAGACATTGACGACCTGGAAGCGGCCATATTGGTTGTTGGGAGCCGCAAGGCCTTATGGGCCGAACGTCAGAATTTGCAGTTAGAGCTGCTATTGGTTAAAAACAAAATTTCAAATCTCGCACATGAGCATATTTAACAGACCTTCTCAAAATAGTCATAGACATAGTTGCTTCACGAGTTCCTGTACAATTAGCATAGGCAGGGCCTCTATATGTCTAACAGCTATATGGTTTACGCCAATGTATGCGAATTTTAACCTCGATGTCATGTACGCCTTGCTTATTTTTTGGAAGTGAAAAGGTGTTTTTGAATATTGCTATTACAAATATTTATGGCAAACATTCCAAACTGTATTTTCATGGGTATGTAAATAAATCGAATATATGTTTCATAGGCTGGTATACTTATTTTCTTCTTTAGAGTATGCGCGCTTACTATTCATCTAACAATGCTTAAAGACATCGGTTGCCGTTTGCTTGATTTTTAAAAATATGGCAAATTTATTTAATTTAACTATTTCTAATGTCATTATAAACATTTTAATATTATATTCTCACATGGCAATGATTTAATGCATCTTTGGGGAATTATTTTCTCCCACCTTATCAAAGCAACAATTCTTTCTAGGCAACACAACACTGCTCATCACACTCGCCCCTTGCCTAAATGCCTAAATTGGTATCACAACAAAGTGAATTAACTAACTACACTTTGCTTTTATATCTTTATTCTGAATATCTTAAAAATTGTATTTTTTATACCATAAAAACTTTTCATTTACTTGAATTAATATTATTCCTTTCCTTTGATGATAATAATATTAAAAACCTAGTTTACAAAAATATTGAAAACGACTACAAAAAATATAAAAACATTAAATAACTTTGGGCACAACCAGGATGAACGCGCCAGAGTATCCTCTTAAGAATAAACAGAATATTAATTTCTGTATTGCAGCACATATACGTACTGTAATATATTCCAATGCAAAATTTCTTTTGCAACAAAAGAAAGAAAAATCTTATAAACAGAGATAAAAAATAGAAATAGTATTTTAAACAAAGGTAAAATGGTTAATAGGAAGACTAGAAGACCCAAAAGTCTAACGGTAAATGCCTTCTTTAAGAAATTAAGTGAGACTGTGAACAAATCCAGGTATGAGCAGTAACGATTTGCAGCTCTTAGTATTTTGAGAATTATTGATGTCGAGGTGCTACATTAATTGGTATTCTGGCTAATATTTCAAAACAGGCAATACGGCCATTCAAGATTTTATGCCAGAAAAGAATATCAGCTACCACTCTCCGATAATCCAATGTCATTTAATTTTGGATAATTTTTGGATAATAATGTAAGAGAGACATTGTTCTTGTAAATGTTATACCTAGTTCTCCAAATAAGAGAAGTGAAATTTACTTTACCGTGTGCATATTGACATGGTTGGTCTTTTACGGCAAAAAATTCAACAATGATAACAAATAAGAACTAAAAGTTCAGATTTTCACGAAATTATATATTTTGACATGACAATTGTCTCGCCAACACCGTGTCTTTATCAAGACATTTGATAAAGACACGGTGTTGTCGAAACAATTGTGAAGATTATGTAAATGCTTGAATACAATGAATGGGTGCCATACAGCTGAAATTTTCGCATTTTAAGAAATTGGAATCTAAAAAAAAAAACGAAGAAAAAGGGATAAGGGATATTCCTTATTTACAAGACTTGGTCTGTGTAAAATTTACGGTAGGAGAATATGAAATTTAAAGATATTTTAAATCCCAAAAATATATACAAACCAGGGGGTGTCTTAACAGAGGTGTCATTCTCTCTTTACCAAAGAAATCTGTGTGAACTATAGAGGAATAATAGCTATATAAAAAAAGGATATTGTGGTGGTGATATATTCCAACAAGGCTTTTCGGTTCAATTACCCAAAAATCCTAATGCGCGGGATATATTGCAAACTATTTACTATTTGTAGAATTTTTAGTTTATGGTAAAGCGTCTTTGATAATAATAGCAATTATTATTACTCTTGTGGTTTAATTACTTTGTGCGAATACATAGCAGGGTACAATGCGAATTCTTCTTGGAGCATAGACCTAAATGCTTAAATGGTTGCATTTTGTAGTTGGTCCATAGCATTGACTGATTTGTTAAGTAAGACCAAACAAAAATTTTCACCAATATTGAGAAAAAACGTATTTCTGAACTAGATGGTGGAAAATCGACTCGGCTCGATGTTTGAGAAACATTTTTTTCTGAGGTAGATTTCTGAAACCTTATTTTTATATAAATATTTTGCGATCATGTGTTGTTACCATTAATTCTTGGAAGGATTATTTATTATTAGCGGGATGGTTGCCCCACTCACAACTCACGTATTGTAAGTGAACTTTTAAATGAAGAGTTGGGACAATCTTGGATTCAAACTAGAGGCTTTGTTCTATGGCCTGCGAGATCGTGTGAAGTCCTCCAGATTTTTGAAGAATGAGAGAAAGCCTCTCGAGAAGCGCTTGCTTCCATCAATCCTAAAGAGTTGGTGAACAGCGGCCATTCAGTACGAAAAGAGTTTAATTTAAAAGGTTAGATTTTAATATTTTGTGTTCTAATATTTATTGTGTATTGTTTATTAGGTTACAATAATTAAAAATATTAAAATTAAATACTAAAAACAATATCTAAAATTAAAAAATGGCTGTTAGGTTTCGTGCTTTTCACTTAAGATATTTTAAATTGGCCCGATCTTTTTTAAACTTCCAGTACTTATTAAATTATTTTAAAGATTCCTATGTGGCGTCTATGCATGGCCTACTAATTCATAAAAAAAAAACGCGTATAAGCCTTTTTAAGGCTGAAAAAAGCTCGACACGAGCATTTATTTAAAACTATAAGCGACTATGAGTGGCATATAAAATAAGAAAGTTGTATTCACGTATGAGAAAACGGAGAACTGTAGAAAAAAATCTGAGTACGCATTTGCCTTTAAAAAATACCCGAGCAATATTCTTATCCGAATCCCAAATTTTCATTTAAAAAAAATTATGGGCAATTTTCGGTAGGTAGGGATGATATCGCCGTGCAGTTTTAACCATTAAATGTAAGTCGAGTTTGCTTTATCTAATTCAGACATGAGTTTTTCTTGTTAAAACACTCCCATTACAACCACCTTGTACACTACTATCGACTTACCCTAGAGTCGACGGAATCGTTAGTCTGTTCAGCTTCGAGCTCTTGAGACTTGTTCCCTAGCACACGGTTCGCGTGGGTGCGAGACCGACAATGTTTGTACAGGTTCGAACGGGTCTTAAAGCTAAACCCGCAGCTGGTGCAGGGATAAGGTCTTTCATTAGTATGTGCCCTTATGTGCTTCTGTAGCACGCTAGGTTTGGAGCACACCAGGTTGCAGTAGGTGCACACATACTTGCCCTTATCCTGGCCCCCTTTGGGGCAGCATTCATCGCCCGGTGGCGGCGAACCCCGGTCCACCCCCTGGTCGTTGGGCGGTTTCGTTCTAAAAGTGTTCGTATCAAAACTATGGGCGTTCGAAACTACGTATGATATGCACTGCGTGGTGGTGGTATGGGTGGTGGTCGCCGGTAGTGATATGGAAGACTTGCTGGGAGGAACACTGATAACGACGGGCACGTTTGTACTTGTTTGATTTGGCACGACAGACGATGGTCGATTATTGTCGTTGACGTTTTGGTCCGCGACGGGAGGAATGACTTCTTTTTCTCCCTCGCCTCGATAGTTCTCTTTTCCATTTTGACGGTGGTAGACGTGGTGGCCGTGGTGCGAGGACGGTTTTGGTTCGACGCTCAGCTGTTTCTTGAACTTCTTATGCAGGTAGATGTCGAAGTTACTTTCCATCGCTGAATCGATCTGAAAGATGGAGCGGAAGGGTGAAAGCGATTTATAATAACAATGAAATATACACTTTTAGTTATTTTGTTCAGGAGCATGCCTTTTATATAGAAGCTAAAGCTAGAGTATCCAAATTTAGTTTGGCAGCAAGGTGGCGCTCCTTACCATCGAAATGCTGCATTCATTCGTTATTTAAACAAAAATTTCCGAGAGTGGATTGGGCAAAACGAAACCATCTCCGGGCCAGCGAGGAGTCCTGATTTAATCCCGATGGACTTTGTTTTGTGGGGCACATTAAAATATATGATTTACAAAGATAAACCGTCAACAGTTTTGGAAGTGCAGGAAGTGCAGCAACGAGTTCGCGCGGTAATACACTATCTGAATGAAACGAATTACTTCTCAAATGCTATATACCATTTAGAAATAGGATATACTACTTGTATTCTTCAAAACGGTGGACATATTGAAAGACTAATTGAATTAATTTTACTTGTAAGTAATATGCATTAGTAGTTAGTGTTAATTTTTTGTAATCATTTCACGTAGTCATTTAAACGTAGAAATAAGTAATTTGCGAAATTTGGCAACATTGTGCAAAGCTTTATATTCTGTTTTTAATAAGACTTTGAGTTTTTAATTTTATCTGCCAATTAAGCCAAAACGGTAACTCAGAGACGCGTACTATGTTATATAATTGAAATTCCTATTAAAGTGGCAATTCGAAACTCCATCGTTGAGTTTGTCTTTAAGTGGATTAACCAAAAATTGAAGAAAATGTAGGGTGTTCTATTAAAAAAAAAGTAGATACTTTGTTTTACCACCCTGTATATAAAATTAAAATAATAGGAACAACTTTTGCATTTAATTTTTTTTTTGTCACCCCCGTAGGTTTCGAGGTACAACAACCCACATTCATTACTCGCCTACATATCAAAGTTGGCGCTTCCTTTATTCCACGTTCAAGTCACGTTTTGGTTTTAATGGTTTTAATCAATTATTGAATTGAATTATTTGAATAGCTGGGTCCTTCTTCATACGAAGGAAACATTTTATAGGTAACACGGTATATAACTATATTACGATAACTTCTTGTCGCAGATGAAATAAACGATTAAGTACACTTTTAAACAAAAAATCATATGCTGCCCACTTTTGCAATAAATCAATGCAAATTATTTTTAGAAAATTGCAGAGATAATTACCAAATTCGATTATCCACGTTATTAATCTGCATCAAAATCTATCATCTTGGCTTTTGACGCAAATTATCGAAATAACATGCAGACAGGAGGCAATAAAACACCGGATCAGAACATCAGGGCGCACTTTTATTTCCCAATTTAGGTATAATAAAATCATATTAGTACTAATAGAAAATACGACTTACCCATAACAATTATCAATGTTATTCGGAATATTTTTTAAAATATAATTTTGAAACAGATTTTCAACACTGTATCAGAGTGATTCAGTGTGAATTAGAGTGAGACATTTTCCTTTATTTGAAGATGCTTTTTGTCTGACAGTTTTTACTTCAATCAACGATCCTTTGGATACTGTACCGTGTCTATCGAACTAAGTTCCATCTAGGTAAATTTTACATCTGTTTTCGGATCTATACTTTTTCATTTCCTGAAGGTAATTAAATCTCCAAGTGTGCAATCTATGCGATTCCATTACCAATTGTTTTTTATCCGTTTTCTGATATTTAAATCCCATATTACCAAATACTCTACAGAGGGTCGTAATTTCTTTTTAGGGGAGCAGGATAGCTTTTTATGGTCATTTAGGGTAAATTTTTTATCAAATGAAACTATTATTATTAAAATTATTATAATATTTAGCTTCTTTGGGAGATACTATTTCATAAATAATAGCATTAAAAAAGGTCGCGGGGGATTATTGCAGGCTGTCCGTGCTTCCGAAGGCTTCCAAACATCTGCTCTCCGCTTCGAGTACGATTTCTCGGAAATGCCAGGTACGACCCGTTTTATGTGCTGTGTAGACGCCAGTTCTTGGTAGCACGCCACGCGAACAGTTGACCATTATTAGGCAGCTGCAACGATCATTTTGATTCGCCCCTTCCTTTTCACCTTTCGATGCAGATATGATTCCACAAAAAAAATAAACAATGTTAATTTCCAATTTCTTAAATTTTACAAGTAGCTATCGGTATCTTTTAATCAAACAGCCTATGGAAGAGTGTTTTGCGAGCTATTTTTGGAACTTTTTTTTATTTCCGTAGTCTCTAATATTCTTTTTGCTTTCGAGGTCTCACTTTCCTTACTTCTGTCTCCGTATCCAGATATGTCAATTCCTAAATATTTCAATTTCATTTCCTGTTGTATTATTTTGTCCTCAACCACAAGTTTGCATCTGACCGCTGACTAGGAAGTGCATGACTATTTTATTGAACTGTTACAGAAATCTTTGAAGATCTTCGTTGTTCGTTGTCCGCAACAAGAACCACATCATCTGTCATCAGGAGTGAAAACGCATTTAATTAAAGTATTTAAACCCAGAGAATGCTGTCGCAAATATATCACAAGAGCGATCTCATCGTTTCTAAGATGTATAGGTATATAGGTGTAAATCAAAGAAAAACCATTGTTCAAAGAAACTCAAAAAATGAATCATCATATTTGATTTGATGAAATGATCCTCGGAGTACTTTACCACTAATGCTAAATTGCAAGCAATGCCTAGGGTGCGATACAATGTTTCGATATTTCTATCTGTAGGTATATTCAAAACAGTTAATTTGAAGTACCCCATGTTATAATTCAGAATTGAATAAAAACTGTTCAGGAAGGTAAGAGGTGTTTTTATCGTTTTAATTCGGCTTTCTCGCCAAAAGTTACAAAAAACGATTTTTCAAATTCACACCATGGATATGCAGAACGGTTCACAGTGGACAAAAAATTATATTTTTAATTCAAACTGAAAGTTTTTTTGAGCACCTATTTTTAAAAATAAATATTCCTTTTTCCTTAATTTGGAATTTTCTTAAATTTCAACTCAAGTTACGTGCTCAAAAACAAAAACATTAAGAAACTAAAAATCGAGCACCCAAAATAAAACGAGGTTCGTTAATATTCAATTCGATGTTTTAATTAATTTTAACATAAGTACGATTATTGTTCGTCGGTTACCGCGCGAGTGAAAACCGAATAAAAATGAAGGAAGGTCGTCAGTGTCATCTTAACGCGCCGAGCGTCTGTGCAAAATCGACCATCGTCTCGAATCTTCGGAGATGCTATACCTACATCTAATCAAATTCGCTGCGCAATCATTTTTAAAGTGTGAGAACGAACCAGCATCCTGAATGAAGATATACTTCAAAGCTGTCATCTTGTTGCTGAATTGCCGCAACTGGCCTACCACCTGAACAATTTGCAAGCATAAAAAAATCCAACGCAAGCACCAGAATTTTGTCTTATTGTTTTCAAAACAAAATAAATTACATATTTCTCCGACAAAAGTTAACATCGGTACCCAACAAAATCGGGGCTATCCGTCGATATAAGAAAAAGCAAACATTTCTCGGAAACGTATTTTAGTCAACGTCGTCCTAACCACGTTGGCGGCGTAGCACCAGTCTCCTTTTCCTCGGTCGACCCATAACAATCAGTTGCTGCTTCTGGGAAATGTCGTTCTCGGAAACGCATCGCGCGTTTTTCAGAAAACCTGTTGCCGGTTTTCATAGGGTCTGCCTGCGGAGTTTAGTTCAACGATAACAGTACAGAACCGGCTGCCAATTGCTTTCGCGTTTTCGAAATTTGGTGCATTACAGTAATACGAGCGGTAAAAGCTATTTGGTAAAGCATATTGAGTTGAGCATCATTGCTTAGGCGCTGTTCCATATATTGTGCAAAAGTGTCCCGTTGGATTAGGATCTGGGCTGCTATAGGCACGTCAAAAAACTTGTCATGTGTCCATTTTTCGATAAATTTAGCCGTATGGTATGAGGCTCTGTCCTGTTGCAAGATAAAATCTCCGTAATTTCTGTAATTTTGCTGCACTTGGTAAATGCGAATGTTCAAGGATATCTTAATATTTGGCTGCGTTGACTGCGCCTTCAATAAAGTGTAAAGTTCTCAGCCCTTTTTAGACAATCACTATGGAATGTTTCTGTTTTTTCTGGAATCAAAGGCTTTCGGTAGTCTTCCCCCCCCCCCCCCCCAGTAAGGTTTGGCCTACTCGTATTAATCAATAGAAAAACTAAGACCGCTCCTGTGAAGATATATTTGCAGCAGTTTTCTCTGGAAAGATTAAACCCAGTTTCTCTGTTCTTTGCGAGTTACTTATTGCAATTAAACTCCTTATATTCCTTTGACAAAATTTGCTATTGGACGGTCACAACTATTACCGCGAACATCAACACTGGCCGTTTTACCGTGTTTCGTAATTATATTAAACACAGTAAGTAGTATACTCAATTCAGACGAAATTTGACGTACCCTTTATGGTATTCAATGTATCATTATTGTATTTTACTTGTAATAAAACTAACGGTTGTTGACGGAGGAAAGGCAAAACGATATTGCAGGACTTTTCGAGTATCAAACAATTAAATATATAATAATCATCATAAAACATATAATTAAACCGTAAAAATAAGTAAATAAAATATAGGTAAACTGGCATTTTATTCCCTTGTTATAACAAATAGTTGTAAAGTTTCGACTGCGCTGTTGAAATGTTGTGGCATGGTTGCAAACACAAATCGGTGTTTATATAGTTATGCATTTATTTTTAATAATTTATAACAATCTCTACTATCTTACAGTTAATTTTATCACGACTATAATACAAGTTATGGGTTTATTTGGGTCACTGTTTTCTCCCAGGGTTTATTTAGTTGCTCAATTTAGCAGCTCGCCTGCAATTTGATATTGATATTGATTGATTGGTTGATATTGAAAGGAAATGATTTTCTGCGCACTTTGCGTCATTTTCTTTCTAAACAACCATTTTCCAGAAACTTAACCCGTTTTCCCAGAACGTTTAACGAG